CAGAAATATTCCTGTGGTGAAGTGATACAACTGGTTGAATTTTCTGAATTCCACCTCTTGGCTTGATGTCATCTCATAGGATGACTATTTTTACATAGTCTGGGGCACAAAAATTTGATTGAGGGATGCTGTTTTGTACAGCTGTGCAGGTAAAATGCAGCTGAGGACATTAAAAATACTGTTAGAGGGAGCTGTCCGTGGTCCTGAAATTTGTCTTGTAAATTTACAGTACTATGTTATGGTTTTGTTGAACAAGCAAATAATGGTTTGTTAGTTGCAGTGACTAGAACACCAGGCTTTAAGGTGTCCTGTAGAGTTTGCCTTGAGAGAGGGAGAATTGTGTTGTTTATTTTATAGTGCAAAAATATAAACTCTACCCTCAGTTCTTTAATATTTCCTCAAAACAATTTGGAACTACTGGGAATAATGTTATGGCTGTTTAAAAAAAACTATATGGTATCACAGTAAGGGGTTTTATGTTGGTGGCAGTGATGAAGCCTCTGGCAGTGATTGGCTGAGCAGCCTGCATGTAATGGGTGGGCTGGGCAGTTTGAAGGATCATGGGCTGCCACTGGCTGAGCTGCTTGGGTCTTTAAAAGGGGGGGGGGAGAAGAAGAAACCTCTTGCACTAAAGGCACACTGCTTGTCTTTGCAAATAGCAAGGATCACTTCTTGCTAATGACTGAGCTGCTCTCATCCCGCCTGTCATAGGCTGATAGAATTGGGGTAGGTGGGATGGACCTAGTGAAGGACAGAGATATCAGGCAGGAGCCATGGGTCAGTATTGGAGCATCAGCGTTGCTTTCAGAAAGAAAAAGATCAGGTAGTAGGGGATGTAGAAACCTCTGCCCAAGAACTTGGAGAGCTGCTGCCTATCAGAATAGACAATGCCAAGCTTGGTAGGCTGATGGTGTCACTCAGTATAAGGGAGCTTCATGTGACCCTTATTTGCATCATAAGAAATCCACAGGCTAATGGAAGAAGGGTAGGGAGTGGAGGGACCAATTAAAGGAATACTGGAACATGGATGGAAGCATTAGGGGGAGAAGTTAGCTACATGCCAACCATCTGTAAGGAATTCTTGGAAGGTAAATGAAAGCTGACCATTGTTGATTCAACAAAAGTTCTGTACTGAATGTTAACACTTCCTGGCTGAATCTTACCTGAAGTTTTAAAATGTAAGATTGTAATTTAGAATAAGTATTTAAATGATTGTGTGTTCTTGCCCTCGTTAGCAGCCCTGAGCCCACTGGGGAGGGCGGGGTATAAATGCGAAAAATAAATAAATAAAATAAATAAATTCTTTTAATCTAGGTTATAGTGCAGTCCAAAACACAGTTACACTCTTCTAAGCATGTTGAGTTAAATGGACTTAGAACAGGGGTAGCTCTCTTACGATTGCATAGTTATGTCTTATGCGCCTTTGGATTTATGCATATCACAAGTAAATCAAATATTTAATGAAAAATGGGCACACATTGCAGAGCTGAAGGGGTTCTGAAGTTCACATGTATTAAGTTAAAACGACCAGCTGACCTTGAGCTGCAGGCCACTAGTTTAATATCGAATGACTCGCTCCACGTTTCTTCTTATTGACCTTTAACTAATTCTTCTTTTTTCATTTCTGCAAACCTACAGCACAGCCAAGTACAGTGTGGTGACATTTCTACCTCGATTCTTATATGAGCAGATCAGAAAGGCTGCTAACGCTTTCTTCCTCTTCATTGCCTTATTGCAGGTATGCCTCTGTCACTTAAGCACATTAAACTAAAATGTTATGTCTCTCTTGAACACAATCACAATTGCGAATGGGCCGGGGGAGTGCCATTCTTTCATGTTGGCTTTAGCCTTGCTGGCACCAGTGGGGCTTAAAGGCATACATGACGGTTGTGTTCTGCTCCCTCCCCTAGGAGGGTGCATGCGAGTACATGTGTTTGCACTTGTATGGATGTGAGGGGGTGCTGCATTCATAGATGTACAGTGCCAAGGCCACCCCGAAAACCGGGAGCAAGTCTTGAGTGTGGGCGTCATATAACACTTGGAGACGCAATAGCAGGGACACTCTTAGTGATTCTGGGGCCCTGGGAAAAATTCCAGGATGGGGCTACAGAATCACTGGCTTCCCTCTTGTGGGACCCTCTCCAGGCTCTGGCAAGGGACAGCCCTTGTACTGTGCAAGGTAGGTGGGTGGGCATGGGAGCCCAACTGGCCAACTGGTGCCTGAGCCACAGAGAGAGCAGATGAGTGTGGTGGACACCAAAATGGCTGCTACCGGAGCCTCAGGAGGGACATGCGTGCATGGTGGCTGCTGATGCTGGGCCAGCTCCCCAAGAGCCAGAAGGGGTGAGTGGGATCTTACCTGCTCTTCCTCTTCATTTCCCTTCCATTGGGGGAGGGGCCATGAACACTTGGGAGTTCCCCCACAACCCAGGGTAGCTGCCCCTGATGCCTTGTGGCTGATCACCCCTGATTAGCAGTTCTTCTTTGACCTTGCTCTTATATGAATACTCTTTGAGCCAGGCTAGGGTGCATCATGTACTGTTGTGTTGCGAAAGCAAAGTCATAAAGCCACACTGCCAATATTTATACCAGGCCTGACCAATGGCTCCCAATCACAGGAGTCAGTGTTCTATGTCCCTTTCTGCATGTAAAGCTGGCCTTTGTCACTTCTTTGGCATGTTTTGCATATCCAGGGCTATTTTTGGGCAGGAAGGCACAGGAACGGAGTTCCGGCTGGCTTCTGAGACCAGGTGGGCGGGCACATGCAGCAAGCCCCGCTCCCTGCTCCCAGCAGCCCTCAGTTGGGCCCCAAGGAGCTGTCAGGGGTGTGGCCTAATATGCTAATGAGTTTCTGCTGTTGGGTGTGGTCTATCATGCTAATGAGTTCCTGCTGGGCTTTTTCTACAAAAAAAGGCCTGTGCATATCTATATCTAAAAATAACACAGAGGTTTTTGAAAAAACAATGCAGCATTTAAAATGGATATGTAGTGTGCATGTGGGAGGGATTCTTGACTCTTTTACCACCTGCTGCTTCTTGGCTCCAGATTATTCCACCAAGGCAGATCTCCATCATGCTCAGAGCCCCATCGAAGAACAGCAATGGGGGGGGGGAGCAATTCAGAACAGAGAAGCAGCAGGGAATGGAAGGGTTAAGTACTTCAGTTCTAAATCCCCCCTGAAATGCATTCTCTCTCTCTCTCTCTCTCTCTCTCTCTCTCTCTCTCTCTCTCTCTCTCTCTCCTTCTTTTTAAAAATTTTAATATTTGCATTTACTTTTCAATACATTTGTACTATAAAAACTATTTTGGCATAACCATGCTGCTCTGTAACCTTTATTTTTAACTTCTTCTTTTTTTGTTCCTTTTCAGCAAATTCCAGATGTCTCTCCAACTGGAAGATATACCACCTTGGTGCCATTGCTATTTATTCTAACCGTTGCTGGCATCAAAGAGATTATAGAAGACTATGTGAGTCCATCTAAGGCATTTGGGGGAAATAGGCCACTATTCTCTTCCAGGTCCTCTGCAGCTCAGCTCGGATTAGCTCTGCTGTGCAATGCAAGAAGCTAGGGGCAGGGAGTGTGGCTGGGCAGATGGAGGCAAGGCCATGAGAGATACCTTGCATGATATGCAAAGGACTGTTGCTGTGGCCCATTTATGAGACCCATTACGTCTGGGAACTATTAAATATTTATTTCTATGATGTTTTAAAATCTTGTGTTTCCTTCCACAGGACAACTGCTTATAAAACCGTTCCAACTACAGAAATCCCCCCCCATAAAACAATGGATATAATAAAATGTATAATTATTTATTAAAATAGTTATACCTCACCTTTCCTCTTGGCTAAAGGTGGCTACAGACACAGTACTGTCACCCACTTGAAGACATTGTGGTCAATATGAATTTCAGTTAATTGGTTGATTAAATCTATATATATTTGATTTAATGTTGAAAGCTACCTAGAGAAAAATGTCCCCCCCCTTTTAATAGAGGTTTAATGTGATGTTATTTACCTCCATACTATTAAAAGTTTTGGCTGCCCATTTCCACACACTAAGCCTCTATTAAAGAGACCAGACAGCCACCCCGCCAGGAGGGGCTTTAGCTCAGTGGAAGAGCCTCTGCTTTGCATGCAGAAGGTCCCAGGTTCAATCCCTGGAATCTTCAGCTAAAGGAAACATGCAATAGGTCAGTGATGGCGAACCTTTTAGAGACCGAGTGCCCAAACTGCGACCCAAAACCCACTTATTTATTGCAAAGTGCCAACATGGCAATTTAACCTGAATACTGAGGTTTTACTTTAGAAAAAACAACTCATACATTAATTTACGATGATCCAAACAAAGTAAGGAAAGCAATCCCAAATGCTTTCATTTACTTAAAATTATTTGGCAGAGAATTCAACACTTTAATGATGGTCTGGGCCTGGCTGGGGCGATGGCACACGTGCCCACAGAGAGGGCTCTGAGTGCCACCTCTGGCACCCGTGCCATAGGTTCGCTACCACTGGAATAGGTGATGTGAAAGACCTCTACATGAGACCCTGGAGAGCTGCTGCTAGTCAGAGGAGACAGTTTGGTGTAGTGGTTAAGTGCGCGGACTCTAATCTGGGAGAACCGGGTTTGATTTCCCACTCCTCCACTTGCACCTGGCTGGATGATCTTGGGCAAGCCATAACTCTGGCACAGCTGTTCTTGAAAAAGAGCAGTTTCCATCAAGAGTTCTCTCAGCCCCACCTACATCACAGGGTGTCTGTTGTGGGGAGGGGAAGGGAAAGGATTTTGTAAGCCGCTCTGGGACACCTTTGGGTAGTGAAGGGCGGGGTATAAATCCAATCTCTTCTTCTTCTCTTCTTCTACTGACCTCGATGGACCAAGCATCTGATTCAGTATTAGGCAGCTTCATGTGTGTTACACAATGTATTGTGGATGTTGGGATATTTTCATTGGAGGATAGGTCTATTAGCCATGGTAACTCAAGGGAATTTGATGACTAAAGGGAACCAGCACATTCAGAGGCAGTAAACCCCTGCATCCCAGTGCCAGGAGGTGCCACTGGGGAAGGTCTCAGCCTCTGTGCCCTGTTGTTGGACCTGGAACTGGTTGGCCACTGTGTGAGACAGGATATTGGACCAGATGGACCATTGGTCTGATCCAGCATGGCTCTTCTTGTATTCTTATGACACTTTTCAGTTTTCTCCAGGCCCGTTGTTAACTCTAATTTGTATAGGAATAAAATGATCATTCTGAAGAGAAAAGCAGTTTTTGTTTCCAGACAGACATGCAAATGTTGACCAGCAACCATCTTAGAAGAGGCATTCCTTCTTGCAAGAGAGAAATGCTTCTTCTAAGAAGGCACACCTGCTGAACCCAGGTTTTGTATTCAAAGTAATGAACAACTAAATATAATCTGCTTCCCAGTTAATTAGGCATTTCTCGTTAGTTGGTCAAAAATATTGAATCAGTTAATCTAATGACTGAGTAATTCTTTATGCAGTTACTCCTGCCCAAACCCATGGAAATCAATGGATTACAGTGTAAAATGTGCAGCTTTAATAGAACTACAGCAGGATACTATAGTTGTCTAATAAACAGAACTTCCCTCTTAAAACCCAGGATGGAATTAAGCCCATAGATTTTCTGGGCCACCACAAATAAGGCCCTGCCTCTTGTAGATGTCGGTTTAACTTCTATAACAAAATACTTGGAGTAGAGCCTGTCTTGAAGACCTCATTTTAGAGGAAGGATCATGGTATTATTACAAACTTCCAGCAGTTTAAATGACCAGGAAGGCAAAACTAAGTCATGCCAAAGTTGTCGCTTTATTTGTCATAGTGGGAGGCCTAAAGGCACGTTTGCTAATTGTATTGCTGAAGCTAAGCTATCTGATCAGCTGGTTTTATAAGCTGCCTAGAAAAGTGGGAATTTAAGAATCACAGTTAAACAATTCTTTGGAGGAAGAGAATAAGTGCATCAAAGAATAAATCTGTTTGTGTTGGTGCAAATGGAGGAGCTCACAGGATTCAGGCAGTGCCTATAACCATGCTGTGAGGTTTGCATGTTCAGCATTTTTTTTATTTTGCAAGAGAGCAGCCTTCCTTAAGAGCTGCATCCTTCTTGGAGTGGAAATGCAAACGCCTTCTTGCCATGCTCGGCTGTGCCTACTCCATTTGCTGTATGCATCCATTGGTGCTTCCCATTTCCCCCCGTTCAACTACAATGCTTTATATTGTATTAGAAACCACTCCTAAAGATCCCTGGGGTTTTGGGAAGGGCATGTGGGGTTTCTTTGGAAAAGGAAGTCCAGAAGAAACTACTGTGTGGGCAAAAACTCTCCACAGACCCTTTTGGATCCTGGCCTAATTTGTCTGGTATCTATTTGCAAACAGAACCTCTCGTCTTTGCCTTTAAGGTCTGATCTTTATTGAACATTAGTGAAGTGACGTCACTAAAAGACTTTGTCTTTTCGGATATTTCTGCTAAGGGCTCCGTTGTGTCTGCACAGCCTTGGAGTTACTGGCACAATCTTGTGTTTTTGTTTTTGTTTCTTTGCCTCTGAAATGCATTGGGAACGCAATACAGAGTATGTTAAATGTGGCTCAGACCTCCTACTTCAATTCTGTGGCTTGTAGAGCTGAATTGGGACACGTTTTGCATGCTATGCAGGGAGCCCGAAATTATCTGCAGTGCTCCCATGGGTTAGCTGTTGGATTTAGGAACTGGGAGATGATGTTCAGATCAGTGCTCATCACAGATGTCTTAGGATGAAACTAGACAGGGGTCTTGTTGTAGAAAAAGAGCTGCCGGAGCTCATTAGCATAACTCATTAGCATAACTTATTTGCATATGCCACGCCCCCTGACATCACCGGAAGTGACAGAAGGCCACACCCCCTGACATCACCAGAAGTGTGTCAGAAGGCCCGGCTACTTACCCTCCTGCTTCATCCTCATTCCCAAACGGAATGAGGATCGAAGCAGAGGGCGGGGTAAAGAAGGGGGCGGGGCTTCACCACGTGACCGCCCCGCCCCCTAGAGGTTCTCTTCCGGAGCTCCGTACCTGAGAGCTCCCCCCCGACTAGAGCCCTGAAACTAGACATTACAAAGGATACCAGTAGTCAGATTTCCAAGTGCTTTATTTTATATGAACAGGGGGAAGGTGGCTGGATCACTGTTGTGGTGCTGTACTTTTAGGTACCAGTCAACTGTTTCCCTACTGTGACTGGATGGGGAGAAAAGAGCATGTGTCCAGTAGCACCTTAAAGACTAACAAAATGTGTGGCAGCATATGAACTTTTGTGAGTCACTGCTCAATTCTTCAGATACCATGACTCACAAAAGCTCATCCCCTGTGACATATTTTGTTAGTCTTTAAAGTGCTACTGGACTCTTGCTCTTTTTTACTGCTACAGACAGGCTGCGGTCACACACTAAATAATCCACTTTCAATCCACTTTCATTGCACTTTCCAACTGGATTTTACTGTGTGAACTGGGAAAATCCAGTTGGAAAGTGCATTGAAAGTGGATTATTTAGTGTGTGTGACCACAGCCACAGACTAACACGACAACCTATCTTGACCTGTCTGGATGGGGAGAGGCAGTTTTTGGTAGGGGGAGGAAAGGGGTTGAACATATGATTTGGTATCACACCCCTGCTCTAGATTGCGGCTCCCCCTATGGCTGTGTTTAACATTAAAGAAAACATCTGGAGATCCAATCGTGGATCTCCCATGTAACATGTAGTTTGACTCTCAGTTCGCATCTGTAAAATAGCAATATTAATGACCTATCTCATAGGGTTGCTGTGTAGATAATATTAAAAAAAAGGTTGGAGAAATGCACTGTGCATGTTAAAAGGGATATAGGAAAAGAGACGCAGAGTTTTAAAATCACTGGGGTGAATCCTACCCCATCATTACACTCCACTGACCAAAGTAGGAAGCCTTTCTCTAGGCTAAGGAATCTTCCTCCAACTTAAGTGGCTCTTCTGTTGAAGGAAGAGCCAATGAAATTGGAGAATGTCTCCTTAGGCTGGAGGAGGGCTCTTTGGAGGACAGCTGGACCCACACAATTACAATCTTTTAGTTCTGTAACACTTCCTCAGTGTTAACAGATCTCTTTGGCTTCACCCTGTAGCCTGTGGAGGTGGTTAGGCTGAAAGCTGATTCTCACTTTGCATTTTACATTCACTTATAGCCATCCAAGTGCCAACTACAGGAGCCTCTCCTAAAGAGTCAAGGGTGTGTCTGTGAAATACCTGGAAGCAGAGGTCTGCTCTTTTCCCACTAGCTGACACCAAAAATTACCATTATGTTCTCATTCCTTGTGGATAATAGGGGGACAGCAATGCCTTGCAGGGTTGTATAAGGATTGTGAAAACAATATAAAGTAGTTTGAGTGCTTACAAGACTCATTATATCATTGCAAAAATTCATTGTATATGCATTTGCTTGTGATGAAATGTGAGAGAATGGAGATGTGAGATGGGGGATGGCCCTAGGGGTGGCCCTGGGTGACTGCCTGGGGTGCCAGAGGTGGAGGAGCATCAGCCAGAACAGCCACTTTCTGCCTGGCCTCCCACCTGAGGCATCAGGTTTGCCCTGGAAGGTGTCCCACACCCCACTGGACAGCCAGTGGGGATCCTGCTCCCCCTCCCTTCCCTTTGTTGGGTGAGCCCAGTCTGGGGCCTGGCCCAGCCCTTTCCCTCTTTCCTTCTGTCCCATTTCGCCTTGCTTGACAATGGTGGGAGGATGAGGAGGCAGGCAGCCGCTTCCTACCGCCCTGCATCATATGGGACAAGGAGGATGGGTACCTTGGGCTGGACTTGGTTACTTTATTTAACCTTGTTACAATTGACAATTTTCGGCCTATGGTACACAAAAAAAACGGCATCCCTTTAGAGAACAGTTGTGTCTGTCTTCTCTTTGAGTCCTACTGCTTAGCTCTGACCTTTTGGCATAGCGGTCACTTATTCCGAATCTAACAAAATGTTCTTCTGTTTCCTTATAGAAAAGACACAAGGCCGACAGTACAGTGAACAAAAAGAAAACAGTTGGTAAGGTCATTGTTTTAAATTCTTAAAAAACAAACAAAACCCTACATCCAATGTAACTGGAAAGAAAATACTTATCCGTAGAATAATTATTCTATTCTTAGTTTAGGTATTAAAAATTAGAAAAGTATGAGTAGATTCCAAGAATATGCTTTTTAAAAACCTTGGTTGACATGTGCTAATATTAGTGACCTATAAATGATAAAGGTTGCAGATTGTTAGTAAATACCCAGTTCTTTCAATGCAACATGGCGGTGATAAGTCGTAACTGGAGATTTTATCCTTTGTCTAAAGTCCTGTATCCTACTACTTCACCAAGCAAAGTTGGAAGCCTTACTCCAATGTAAGGAGCCTTCTTTCAGTTTAAGAGTCACCAATAAAAAGAGAGAGAGAAACCTTTAATGGCATACTAGTACAACAATTCAAAAAACTAGACATCAATAAATACACACACACACACACACAAAATCTCCACCAAACAGAACCCATTTGGAATTAATAAAAAGGAGAGAAAAAAGGTAAATCTAAATATTACAGTTTCAACTTCCATACACATAATAGGAACTCAGCGACAACTGCACTAATTTCAGGAGATTTGTCAGATAACAAAAAAACAAGGTCATTTATTGGTCATAGATTTTGCAGAAGAAAGAAGGGGATGGATCAAGGAATGATGTAGCAAAGAGTAATGAGAGCAGTGAAAAAGAATATGTTGCACAGAGTCAGGTTCATTGTAAAGACAGGTACAGACTCTTTCTTTATAAGGAATACCCTTATGTCTGCCTGTCAAAATAGCCGAGTGGAAGAAATTGAACCTGGCAAGCATGAAAGCTCTACAGTTGTGAGGGGTTTACCAAATTAGAAAGGTACTGCGCCATAGAATCTTGTGTGGGGAAAAGACTCCAGAGCTACCAGCATTAATAACTTGAGCTTCAGTGTCCCAAATCCTCTTTCAGACAATCCGAAGAATATCCATTTCAGCAGAATTGGCAAAAAAAAATCCAGATCAATACCAATGGATTTGATTTTAGACACTATGAACTGGGACCAATTTGAGGTGTCCACATTGGCTGTCATACGGGGGCCACCTCAGCAGCATATAAGAATACAAAGCCCACCATTTTCTCCAGGGGAACTGATCTCTGCCATCTGGAAAGCAGTTGTAATTCTGAGTGATCTCCAGCCCTCAGATTGGACACATTTTACCGCAGAACAGCGGTAAATGCTTTCTTTACTGCCGACGATAGACTGGCAAGAATGATAAAGGTTTGTTTATAATTGGTCTCCTTAATGTAGTGACAACTAATTATAATTACAGGATTAAATATCTGTCAGTCTGGAATAATGATTCGATTGTTATGGAACGAGGAAGGCCAATAAGTTATGTTTTTTGTAGGGGAAGTAAAGACTCCTAATTAATTGGTCTTGGGAAAGTAAAGACTCCTAATTCATTGGTCTTGTGAGTAGAACAAACAGGAAAAAAAGATACTAAAGGATTCAAAGGAATAAGATAGATTCTTTAGTTATCTGGGAAAGATTTAGGAGTAAGAGTGTTTTTCTGTATGAGATGTTATAAACCTTGTTAATGGAGCAATTTAGATGATCCTGATATACGTGGTAACTCGGATTGTTATAATTAATGAGACTTGGATGAAATGTATAATTAGTGTACTTAATTTTGAATATTGTGATGTGTGTAAATTATATACATTTCTTTTTCTCTCATATCTGAAAACCCAATAAATAGATTATTTTAAAAAAGATAAAATGTTGGCAAAATTTAAAGAAAAATTATTATTTGAAAACACCTAGATGGGTTTCCCCATTGGAGGCATTTATTAAACCCACTTTACTAACTGAAAACAAGAAAGAGACCTATGATAAATTACCAGATAAAAATTGTAAACTAAAGTGCCTAGAAAAGTTACAAACCTTAAACATTCACCTGACTTGGTGGGAAAATACGCAATTAAAGTCAATATATAGTAAAGACCAAAACCTAGGCTTCTGTACATCAAATAATGAACTAGATAAAATTTGACTTTTAATCAGCAATAAATTGATTCAAAAGATATACAGATTCCTGTTGGAGAACTATATGCAGGATGAGGTTGTGAAACCTTCTATGGTAAAGTGGATGCAGGATATGGGGTATAGTATAGATATTGATAAATGGGCTAAAATATGGAAATTAATGAGATTCCTTAAAGCAACATCATTTAAAGAAAATATATATAAAATGTTTTATAGGTGGTACTGCACTCCGGATAAGATTGCTAAATGTACAGATATGTTTTCTAAAAACTGTTGGAAGTGTAAAAATAACATAGGAACCTTTTTCATATGTGGTGGAAATGTGAAAAAATAAAAAAAGTTTGGAGAATGGTGAAAAAGATAATACTAGAGATCTTAAATTTTAATCTCGGTCTAGAAATATACTTATTAAACATTATACCAGATTGTTATGAGCCAGAAGATAGATATTTGTTAACTTATATCTTAACTTCATCAAGAATATTACTTGCTCATCACTGGAAAAATGATAGTTTACCATCTAGAAAAGAAATAGCTTTGAAACTGCTGGAAAATGTAGAAATGGATAAACTGACAATGTTAATACAGGGAAAATATGATGTTGTATTTCAAAAAAGATGGTCAAGAGTGTACACATGGTGGGAAAATAATTCGATGTAAAAAGACTCTGAAAGTATAAGGAGATTCTTAAATATATGGCTGTATACTATGGAAAAACTTATAAATAAAGTATTAAAAAACAAAAAAAAAAACCCTGCCAAAACAGCTGTCTTTCCTGACGAAGACACTTCTGCTGTTTGGCTCTTGTGGGACTAACTTTTGCCTCGTGTCTTTTGCTAGGCAAACAAGCTTGTTTCTGTCAGTAAAAAGGCAAAGGAAGGAAGCCCTTTCCAGGCCTTTGTGGGGAACGCATTGGGGCCAGGCCTGACGAGGGTTGCCAGCTCCTGGTTGGGAAATTCCTGGATATTCTGTGGTGGAGTCTAAGGAAGCCAGAGTTTGGGGAGGAAAGAGGCGTCAGCTGAATAGAATGCCATAGAGCCCACCATCCAAAGCAGTTATTTTCTCCCCGGAGGGAGAGAGATCAGTTGTCTGGAGTTCAGTTGTGATACCCGACAATCTTCAGGCTCCTCCTGGAGTTTGGCTACCCTAGGCGTAGCAGTTAGCGCTTCAGAGCAGGGTCTGCTAGACCCAGGTTCTTGCTGTGGACGTTGAGTGGGTGATTTGGGATCAGTCACAGACTTTCAGCCTAACCTACCTCACAGGGTTTTTGTGCAGATCAAAAGGGGGAGAGGAGAATGATGAATGATGTAAGCTGCTTTGGTCTCCACTGTGGGGAAAGACTGTACTTTTCCTCCTGGTGATCATTGCTGCCAATCTCCAGGTGAGGGCTGGAGATCATTCAGAATTAAAACTGCTCTCCAGATGGTAGAGATCAGGGGCAGATAACAGTAGGTTGATGGTTGGCTGGGAAGGAGATAGGGTTGCCAACTCCAGGTTGGGAAATTCCTGGATATTTTAGACGTGGAGCCTGAAGAGGGTGGGGTTTGAGGGGGGGTGGGACCTCAGACAGGTACAATGCCATGGACTTCACCCTCCAAACCAGCCATTTCCTTCCAGGGGACCATTGTTGCCAGTGTCCAGGTGAGGGCTGGAGATCACTCAGAATTAAAACTGCTCTCCAGATGGTAAAGATCAGTTCCGCTGGAGAAAACGGCTGCTTTGCAGGGTGGACTCTGTGTCATTATACCCTGCTGAGGTCGCTTCCCTCCTGCTTGGGTCCCCACTGCGGAGAAAGACTGTAGTTTTCCTAGGCAGAGGATGCAGGTGGGGGGGGAGATGGAAAGCTGAAGCCAGAGGGGCAGATAAAGGTAGATGGTTGGCTGGGAAGGAGATAGGGTTGCTACCTCCAAGACAGGTAAAATGCCATAGACTCTACCCTCCAAACCAGCCATTTCCTCCTGGGGAACCATTGTTGCCAGTCTCCAGGGGAGGGCTGGAGATCAATCAGAATTACAACTGCTCTTCAGATGGCAGAGATCAGTTCCCCTGAAGAAAATGGTAAACTCTGTCACCACAGCAAATTGACACTGAGTGCCGAAGTCCAGGGCATCCGCCCAGAGCCTCTTTCTAGAGCTTGTTGTATTTATTTCCACAATGGGCCCTATTCCTATTATAGAATAATTCACATTAGACATACATTGGAAATGAGCTAAATCAGTACCTGAGGTTCAGTTCCCTTAAATGATTTTAAGCAAAGGCAATCAATATCTGAGATAATAATTACATTGATGTATATAGTTACTGTGAACTTCCATTTTTATGCACTCTTGAATTCACTGCCGGTTGCGTAAGAAGGGTTTTTCCCCCTGATATGCATCTGAAGACAACATTCAGCTCAAGTTTCACTTTTTTTTTTTTGCTAGACATCAATCTTATATCCGGATAAGAGTACATTTTCACTACTTCAAATAAGTAGGATAATGTTGGATGAAATCAACAGCAGTTGTGTGGATCAGTCTGCCCTGCCACCCACCAAGGCACCTAAGGGAAGAAGAAAGCTATTGGCTGTAGCAGCCTTGCTGATAAATACTGTGGGGAGAAGCAGACTGGCTTTTGCTTGTCCACCCACACACACCCCATTGGTCCTTCAGCAAAACCAGTTGCCAGCCAGTAATGTGGGAATGGACATGTTCGTTATTTGATAATGATCTCTGGGAAAGTTAAACAAGATGTGTTTTTTTCAGTTTTAAGAAATGGGATGTGGCAAAACATTATGTGGAAAGAGGTAAGAACTATTTTAACATGTGTTCTAGGAATCAGTTACTTTTTGAGGGGGTACTTGATGAATTGATATTCTATGGGGTTGGGGTATCAAAATGGATGCTGAATGTTCTCTGATGCCACATCGTATAAGAGCATTCAAGAACATCTCAGGACCGGCTCTGTTTTTTCCTCTTACTAGTATTGATTAATAATACAGATATGCAACTTCCATTGTAGTATTTATTTAATAATTTCATTGAAATATTTATATCCTGCCTTTCCATAATCAAAGAGGGTTAGGGTTGCCAAAATACCTGGAGATTTTAGGGGTGGAGCCTGCGGAAGGCAGGTATTGTGGAGGAGAGGGACTTCAATTGGGTATAATGCCATAGAGTCAACCCTCCAAAGCTGCCATTTTCTCCAGGTGCACTGATCTTTGTCACCTGGAGGATCAGTTATACTTCCAAGAGATTTCCTACTACCACCTGGAGACTTGCAACTCTAAAGAGGGTTCAGCATACCTTACAAACTGCATCACAGTGCAAAAACAATTACAAACCAAGACATTAAAATGTCAGTGACAACAGCATATCCCACGATTACCAAACTGCTGAGAAAAAGAACCCTGGGGCAGCACAGATTAGCTTCCTATACCGCACTGCTTCACAAAGCTTCTTTGGAAGGCTGTTCTACTGGGAAGGAGATTATTTTTGAAAATGTCTGATTGGGTTGCAGGCAGATGTTGTAGCACTGGGGACAGAGGAATGGTCAGGAATAACTTGGTGAATAGGTGTGTATCAAGAAAGTGGCTACAGAAGTGGAGAGAGCTGGGGCCACATATAATGAGACTTCTGCATCTATTCAAGCAAGCTCAGAATAGCTGTAATTTCCAATCCAACAAGCAATTAATAATGCATGTCCCTAAACCTTTTTGCAAAAGAGAGTCACTATACCATTGCATGAACCTAATAATACAAAATGCCATTTACACAACAGCAAGGAAGTAATAAAAATCCTGCAAGCCAGGAAAGATGATGCCATGGCTACGATTCACCTCTTAGCTCATGTTGATGCCTCTTGTTTTATACTGCAGGGACGAATGGTAGAAATGCACAGAACAGACACATTTCATTTAGTTTCATATTGAATTACCGTAACCTTCTGTACTGTATGGCTACCTGTTTAACAGTGTGCAGATTTGTAAGACTCATGAAGAGATTTTGCAAACAAATGTGTTGATAAAAAATGGAGGAGAAAGAAGACTTGAACTGCCTCAGCCAGAGAGAAATTGTTTTGCCTTTTGGAAAACAAAACATGCTTCAAAATCTCAAAGCAAACTGAATTTGTAAAGAGCTACTGCAGTAGCTTTGTCAGACAGCTGACAAGTTATAAAAATGTTTGTTCAGAAAAGTAGAATAGGACTACAGACCACTTAAAAGTCATCACACTCCGTTGTGTTTCAGAAGATTGATTTGTGCTTAGGTTTGCAGTCTGACATGCTGCGACAGCAAGGAGTGGAGTTGCATGTTTGTAAACGTGCAAGAGGGACATGGAGCATACTTATTGAATATCCCCCCCCAAATCAAAGTCATACACTTCTCATTTATGCTTGCCCCTGCAAAAACCAGTTTATACTTGTTGTGTCAGGTGTCAATCATTGGTGGCTCTGGAGTAGCACCATCGTCAGAAGGTTTGTTGCACAGGAGAAAGGCCGGTTTCCAATTTGCCCTATTTGGGCAAACTTATTGAGAGGGCGGTGGCGGCACAGTTACAGAGCTACCTGGATGAGGCCTCCATCCTCGATCCCTTCCAGTCCGGCTTTCGCCCGGGTCATGGGACGGAGACTGTTCTGGTCGCGCTGACTGACGACCTCCGTAGGCATCTGGATCGCGGCGGCGCGGCTGCGCTGGTGTTGTTAGATCTGTCGGCCGCGTTCGATATGGTCGACCACCAGTTGCTGGCCCGCCGCCTTGCCGACGTGGGGATAAAGGGGCTCGCCCTTCAATGGCTAGTCTCTTTTCTCCAAGGTCGGGGACAGAGGGTGGCAATGGGGAACCAGCGGTCCCGAAGGCACCCCCTTGAGTGTGGAGTGCCTCAGGGGGCCGTGTTGTCCCCAATGCTATTTAACATCTATATGCGCCCCCTCGCCCAGATTGTCCGGAGGTATGGGCTTGGGTGTCATCAGTATGCTGATGACACCCAGCTCTATCTGATGTTGGATGGCCGTTCAGCCTCTGGTCCCGATGACCTTGCTCAGGCGTTGCAAGCCGTGTCTGGTTGGCTCAGGCTGAGCTGGTTGAAATTAAACCCGGCAAAGACGGAGGTCCTGGGCCTGTGTCGGACCGGCCGGGAGTTAGGGCTCCTTCTCCCGACCTTCGGCGGGGTGCCTTTGGTGCCGATGCAGGAGGTTAGGAGTTTAGGAGTGCTCCTGGATTCTGCATTGACAATGGAGGCCCAGGTAGCAGCCACTGCTAGGTCAGCCTTCTATCATCTTCGGCTGGCCCGGCAGTTGGTCCCCTATCTCAGCCGCGAGGACCTGGCCACTGTGATCCACGCGACGGTCACCTCGAGGCTAGACTACTGTAACACTCTCTACTTGGGGCTGCCTTTGTCGCAAATCCGGAAGCTGCAGCTAGTGCAGAATGCTGCAGCTAGGCTGCTGATGGGTCTCTCAAGGAGGGACCACATCCGGCCGGTGCTGCAAGCGCTGCACTGGCTGCCTATAGCATACCGGATTCGTTTCAAAGTGCTGGTTCTTACCTTTAAAGCCCTGAATGGCCAGGGTCCAGCCTACCTGAGGGACCGCCTCCTCCCGTATGTTCCCCCAAGAGCGCTGCGATCAGGGAGCCTGGACCTTCTTGAGTTTCCAGGCCCCTGGGACACCAAGCTTGCCCTAACCAGGGCCAGGGCTTTTTCGGTGGCGGCTCCTACCTGGTGGAACGAGCTCCTGGCGGAGATCCAGGCCCTGCGGGACTTTACACAGTTCCCCAGGGCCTGCAAGATGGAGCTCTTCTGCCAGGCTTATGAGTAGGAGCCGCCGCCATTGCCACTATACCACCATCGTGGCTCGATTTACCACCTACCTGGCCCTGGCGAGGGCGGATGTTGCCCACAAGAGGAACATTACTCCGGCGTTCCTGTTTTTGTATATCATTTGGCCGCCAGTGAGGGACAGCGACCGTCTTGGTCTTTCAAATTGATCTTTTAAAATGATTGTAGAGCACCATTTTAGTCTGTATTTATTAGGGTTTTAATGTAACCTATGTTTTATTCTCGGCGCTGCCGCTTGTTTGCCACCCTGGGCCGTATGGGTAGGGTGGGATATAAATCCCAAAATAAATAAATAAATAAATAAATAAGGAAAGGGCAGAGCTGGTTAAGTAGTTCTGGGCTCTGACTGTTCCTATATGATAGACATTGACTCTCAGCCCCCACTGCTCTCCATTTCCCCCCTTGATGCCCTGGATCCTTTTTTTCTGAGGATACCTTTTCTGATGTAATTGCATCCGAGTCCACTCTGCTTCTTCCGGTCATGCAGCTAGGCTGGTTGGTGAGGAGTGTGGAACCCAGTGTCATACCTTTGCAGTAAAAGATCACAAGAGCTGTGAATATCCATTAAGATACACCATTGTTTCCCTCTCTGGGGCTGGAAGAGTGAATAATTAACAGTGTGGGTGGATTCTCTCTCTCTCTCTCTTTCTCTGTATTAATTTTCTCTTTTCACGCTGCTGCACTCCTGCCCCTGAATCATTAGGTGGCAGTGGGAGATATTGTCAAGGTCACCAATGGGCAACACCTCCCAGCAGACATGATCATTTTGTCTACCAGGTCAGATATACTGAGTGGGTGTGCCATGATGGTTCTGCTAAACTGAGGCTCTGGAGAAAGATCACTGCGGTTGTTTTTGTTGTTAACGATGCACCAAAGGTCTCGCAAATGATAAAGTACAAATCTCAACTAAATAGCCTTTAGAGTTAAGCAATTTCAGTTTTACTAGATGTCATACTGTTTCCCATCTTACTAGCACAGGTCACACCCAGGCATTTCTGCTGCACTACAACTTTTTAAGACCAACGAAGTTTAATTCTGGGTATAAGCTTTCGTGTGCATGCACCCGTCTTCAGAACAGTTTCCCTCGAGCCATACATAAAGGTAGAGGAAAACTGTTTCAGGTCTCGGTCACACACCTGAGATAATGCATGGGAGAAGTGAGGCTATTTAACCCAGAGGAAATTGACCCGCAGTTGCGCGATCACACAGTTCTTTGAAGCTGCGGTCATTCCCCTCCACTGTGTGATCAGAAGCAATCGCGGGTGAGTTGGTTTGGGGGTTTTTGCTGTTTGTTTTCGATTCGCCTAAATGGAGGATCAATGAATCGCATCTCCACACTGAGGGCTTCCCACGGCAGTATGCGATGATGCACATACTGAGAAGGGGAAAAAAACAACGGCACAGAGTCGGAATGGCCTGATCTGACCATCCTGACGCCATGAGAGCACGCTGGAGCGATCAGAGGGGAAAGTCCGTCTGTGGCCTGTAGCAACCCATTTGATACTGGACTTCCCCGGTATTTTTTAACTCCACTTCTTCGGCAGAGCAAGACGGGTTGCCGACGGGTGCGGGACACTTGCCAGATGTTCCCGTGTGATCATGCCCTTAAAATCCGCCCAGCATTCGTGCCTATGTCGCGGCTAATTCTGCGTGTTATCGGGACCTCAATGTAGCTGAAGAAGTGTGCATGCCCATGAAAGCTTATATCCAGAAATTAAACTTTGTTGGTCTTAAGGGTGCCCCTGGAACTCAAACTTTGTTCTGTTGCTTCAGACCAACATGGCTCCCCACCTGACTCCACTACCTGTTTAATATCACTTTGGAAATGGGATGCATTTTTACTGTATTTGTCGTAGTGGATGCTGTCATACTTTGGTCTTGACTTAAAGTGCACAACCACAAAGGTTGGCAATCGCTGCTCTAAAATCTCAATGTCAAAGGTAAAATATACAGTTTATAAGAAGAAGTATATTTTATGAGTATCTTATGCCCTGACCCGGATGGCCCAGGCTAGCCCAACCTCATCAGATCTCAGAATCTAAGCAGGGTCGGCCACCAAAGAAGTCCAGGGTTCCTGTGCAGAGGCAGGCAGTGGCAAGCCACCTCTGAATGTCTCTTGCCTTGAAAACCCTACGGGGTCGACATAAGTCGGCTGCAACTTGATGGCACTTTACATGCACACATATGAGGTAAGAGGCAGGTGAGTCGTAGGAGCCAGATGAAGTGCACAGAGAGAAATCCCCACACACACTAGCAGTGTTCCCTCTAAGCTGAGTTAGTGTGAGCTAGCTCACAGTGTTTTAGCCTCTGGCTCACACATTTCTGTCTTAGCTCGGGAAGGATGGCTCCAGAGCAAACTAATTCATGCAGTAGCTGAATCGCTTGCTCACAACTTTAATGCCAAGTTGAATTTTTGCTCACAAGACTCCACAGCTTAGAGGGAGCATTGCCCGCTAGTATCACTTAGTTTACTGGATAGATGACTTCCACTTGAGAAGGAGCCACATCAATCATTTCCAGATTTGGTTCTTCCATTCAGATTTTGCAAGAAGCAGCTCCACTGCCCCCGTCCCCCCCAGCAACCCAAGTGTTCAAGAACCCAAGAGAAGGGCTGGACAGCAACAGAGAGCACTTGTTGGATGTGGAAGAGGCTGATCATGGCCTCTTCATCTGGCAATACAAGTCTTCATCTCACAGTCCCTGAGCTGGTTTGGGAGGCAGCCCCATTATGCCAACAGGACATGATAACTGGGAATATGGGGCTTGTATTGCTTTTTAATTGACTGTTCTCAGCTTGCCTCCATTTATTTCCTGTATTTTATTCCCCTCCCTTGGAAATATAAACTTTTGTTGAATTGGGATTCAGAGGAATCGTAAGGACGGGTGTCCATTTGGTGATTAATATGAGGGTTTTTTCCCCCACGTGCTCAGCAGGGCTGTTTTAAAAACATTGTTTCCCAGGTTGAGAGGATTCACTCTATCACTAGATCCCACAGTACTGTGAGAGCCAGTTCGGTGTAGTGGTTAAGAGCGGCGGACTCTGATTTGGAGAACCGAGTTTGATTCCCCACTCCTCCATATTCAGCCAACTGGGTGACCTTGGGTCACTCACAGTTCTCTCAGAGCTGTTCTCTCAAGAGCAGTTCTCTCAGAGCTCTCTCAGCCACACCTGCCTCACAGAGGGTGTCTGTTGTGGGGAGTGGAAGGGAAGGAGATTGTAAGCCGCTCTGAGACTCTCCAAGTAAAGGCAGGGTATAAAAATTCAACTCCTCATCCGTCTTCTTTCCCCCCAATATCCCTTTTAGCTCTTTGTGCTGTGTTGGATCGCTTTTTTTTAGTAACGTTGCATCATTATGTACCTAAGATATTGTAGAGATGTTTATATTTTTGCAACAAAAGCCTCAGTTCACCAGAGCCCGCATGCTCTCAATGTGGTGTGTTTCCTAATTCTGGATAAAGCATTTGTCATCTTAATCTGTTTTTGTCTGCGTGTGTATTTAAAAAAAGATCATTGGCTGGCAAGTCCCTTGTGGTACAAAAATAAACATCAAATTCAATTAATGGTTTGTGTGGGGGAAAATCAATTGTCCTGTTGTTTTGGAAATCTGGTGTGCATTTATTGTTAATTCGTTCATTTGGTAGGCTTCTTTTTGCAATAGGCTGTTGTTAGAGCATGGTGCCAAATAATGGTGTGGTTGATAGATAAATAAAACGTTATTGTTCTTTTACAGTGAACCTCAGGCCATGTGCTATATTGAAACATCTAATCTTGATGGGGAGACAAATCTTAAAATTCGACAGGTAAATCCTAATCGCTTTCTTCCCATTTTTGAAAGCTTGTGAGATGACAGAGAGGGATAGGAGAGGGTCTTGTGCTGTTAGTCAAGAACAGGCGCACAGCTAAATGCCTGAATGCTGGTTTTTCTATTCAAGTAGCACTGTAAACGTATCCTACTTGCCTTCCTTGACATGACAGAAAAGCCTATGAGAAAATGGGAGGGGGGCATGGAGGGATGCTCCTGAGTGTGTTTGTATTGGGTTGATTTGTTTTTGTTTTTACTTACTTCTGCTATAGTTACTACTTTTAATTTTAATTTTTACTTCTTCTAATTGTGAGCTGTCTAACATTCCCCCCCCCACTACATGAATAATACCTTCCTCTCCAGGATTATAGCCTCGACCTTAGAATATGCATCTCCTTTGACAGATGAGAACACAGATCTGAGCAGAGTTTGGCCCTCCAGACCTGAGCTGCGATTGGGCAGCTACTGCTGATGACCTCCTCTTTCATCCCTCTTGGGAAACTGTTAATAAAACTGAGGGCAGCTGTGTGGTAGTGGTTTTACATGTGAACAGGTAGAGGCTGGGCTCTGGGATGAGCGTTTTGTCTTCCTGCACACCATGCAAAACCCCTGGTTTTCACCACAAATCTATTTTTCAGGTTTCTTAGTGGTAAAGTGAATATTGGAGAATCTAGCATGGTCCGGGGTTCCAGGGAATGCCTGATCTTGCTAGGCCTCCTGAAGCTTGATTCTAGTATCATTGATTTGTTTATTTATTTAGGACTACTCTTTGTCACAATCTCCTCGACATATTCAAAGCAGATATAAAAAATAAAGCTAAAAAACATTTATCAAAATCAAGGCAAAAGTATAAAATCCAAAACAAAACTAATAAAACAGCAAAAAAAGAGAAATATAATTTTTTTAAAGAGTGGTTCAGGAAGAAGTGAAAGATTTTTTTAAAAGAAGCAGAAAGCAATGGCACTAAGATTAATTCAAGTGCCTCAGCAAAAGAAGAAGGAGGAGGTCTTCCCTTGGTACCTAAATCTAAACAGACCAGGTGAGCAGGTGTGGGGAAGGCCTTCTACATGAGCTGCACCACAGAAAACTCCCTCTTTAAAGTTACCCCCCCTTACTTGGGAAGGTACAGACACACAGAGGAGGGGATCTGATGCTGATCTTAACTGATGGGCAGGTTATACAAGCCACCTGCAAGTACTCTAATTCCAGGCCATTTAGGTTTTGAAAGGGAAGGGCCAGTCCTTTGAACTATGTCCAGAAACAAACCAGCACCCAGTAAAATTCTGCACAAACTGGCAGGATGCAAACTCTATGGCCCACAGCAGTTAGCGGCCTCGGTGCCACATTTTGTACCATTTCCCCCCCAAAACCAGATAATGAGGGCAAAACTAGACAATATGTTTGACAGGAGTCAGACCCTGATCCAGTTTGCTACCATATGTCCCATTGGGAACTAACGTTCCAAGTATGCCAGGGCCCAATTCGGTGTGAGGAGCACAGTACAGGTTAAGGAGGGGCTTCGGCCTCCTTTCCTGTGCTGTTTTCCTGAACTGTGGTGCTGCACATTTATTGACTGCAGCATGTGGAGCCCCAGAGCAGCGCAAACAGAGGTACCCATAGCTGTTTCAGCTTGGGGAAATGGTGTGAGGTTGAAGCCTCTTCCATTCTGCTGTCCCAAGCTGAATCTGGCGCTGACATGCTTTGGAATGTTAGTTCCCTGATGGCAGATACAGCTGTAGATTGGGTTAAGGCAAGCCTGACCAGACTCATGTCAAACAGATCATCTAGTTTGGTCCTTACAATCCCATAGGACTGGCTCCTAAACCTGAAGAGTAGATGTACCCAAGGCCTGGTGGAATTCTGTCTGACTGCAGGGTTTCAGGTGCCTGTCTGATGATTACCTGTGTGCTGAATTCACAGCAAGTCAGACTTGTGTCCATTTACCAGCCAAGAGGGATGTACATTTAGAAACAGCCCAAAATGAAGATGGGTCTGTTATGCTCCAAGGCCATTAGGCAGAAGCATGCTGAGCAATCTAGACTGTAAATGGATGAGGCTCCAATGGGTGTGTGTGTTGATAGAGTATACCTGTGTACGTGTTGTGCATCCTTCCTCCATATGGATTTTGCCACCCTGGATAAAGGTGTGATTCCCATAATGTGTCATAGGGACAAATGCTGAATGAATATGTGCTGGCTGATTTAATTGGCTCATCAGAGCCCTGGGAAAGAAAATCCCACAACTCGAGTAGGAGGGCAGATCCTTTGCATACCAAAGGTTCGAGGTTTTGCTGACTGTTTCTTTGTATCTCAAGTAGTTCGAGAAGCTGAGATGTTGGATAGCTGCTGCTGTTTAGAGCAGTTCATTAGGGAATATGGACCAGTATTCTGATTCAGTATGATATGCTTTTGCATACTAATATGCTTTTCTATAAAGCGTGACAAGACAAATAATGATTTGATGGCCCTGGTTCCTTGCAGGGCTTGACACAGACTGCTAGTCTCCAATCAAGAGAAGTGTTGATTAAAGTGTCTGGGAGGATAGAGTGTGAAGGACCCAACCGCCATCTTTATGACTTCACTGGAAACCTGCGTTTCGATGGCCAAAGGTATTTATTTGAGAACCACTTTTTCAGAAACGATGTGTGAGGGCAGGCATAAATGGGGCGCTTGCTCAGGCCACGTGCACAGTTGGGGCCAACAGCAACCAGGGTGGGGGGTCTTCCCTCCCTGTGGTGCCCCTCTCCCCTGGACTTCTTACTTGGAACTCTGTCTTTAATTATGGCACCACGGTGCCCATGGTACAGGCTTTCCCTAGTAGTTACTTCACCCCCCGCCTTTGGCAGCTGCCTTCCCTTGCTCCTCTCCTGATGACCAACCCCAACTATGCTGCACCACAGCCTGAAGGGCCCGCTTAGCCCAGAGTCCTCATAGTCTGAGCGGCACCACTTCACTGCCAAGGGCCGCTGAGACAGCTAGCCACCAGTGTTCCCTCTAAGCTGAGTTAGTGTAAGCTAGCTCACAGTTTTTTAGCCTCTGCTCACAACTTTAATGCCAGTAGCTCACAAAGTAGAATTTCTGCTCACAAGTCTCCACAGCTTCGAGGGAGCATTGCTAGCCACCCTCTTCCCACTGCACTGACCCCGCGCCGAACCCACCCCACTGACTGGTTGGCAGCCTCTGTCCTCTTCATGCCTTGTGTCTCCGGATCTCTTCCTGGTCTGTAGCCCATCCCATGCAGGAGGGCAGAGACCTCAATGTCCCCCTGCCACTCTGTGCTGGAGTTCTGTTCTGGAATCTTAGAGCAGTGTGTTCCCACAGAAGAGAGCCCTCTTGCAAGTTGCTTCAGATGCAGAGGGTGGCTGAGGGAAGGGGGCTTGTGTAAGGCAACCTAGTAAGTTTGGGGTAGCGGTGGAATTTTGAACCCAGGCCCACCTACACTGCAGATCATTTTCTTAGGCAGTATACTACACTAGCTTCAGACTGTCACTCTGCAAAGGGCCATGTATGTCTACAGAGCCAGTTTGGTGTAGTGGTTAAGGGTGCGGACTCTAATCTGGGAGAACCGGGCTTGATTCCCCACTCCTCCACTTGCACCTGCTGATGTGACCTTGGGTCAGTCACAAGCTCTGGCACAGCTGTTCCTGAAAGAGCAGTTTGTGTCAGAGTTCTCTCAGCCCTACCCACCTCACAGGGTGTCTGTTGTGGGGAGGGGAAGGGAAAGGAGTTTGTAAGCCGCTCTGAGACTCCAAGTGAAGGGCGGGGTATAAATCCAATCTCTTCCTCCTCCTCTTCTTCCTCTTCTTCCTCTTCTTCCTCTTCCTCCTCTTCCTCCTCCTCCTCTTCTTCTTCTTCTTCTTCTTCTTCTTCTTCTTCTTCTTCTTCTTCTTCTTCTTCTTCTTCTTCTTCTTCTTCTTCTTCTTCTTCTTCTTCTTCTTCTGTGATAGCACAGCTCTTTCCATTCATTCATTCATTCATTCATTCACTCCTCCATTGAATTAGTTTCAGAGGGTAGTTCTGTTGGTCTGCAGTAGAACAGCTAGTTTTGAATTCAGTAGCACCTTAAGAGACCAAGACGATTTTTGTGGTATAAGGTTTTATAGTCAAAGCTGGTGTCTGACAAAGGGAGCTTTTGACTCTCGAGAGCTCCTGTCCCCAAGAATGTTGCTTGTCCTTAAAGGTGCTCCTGGGCTTGCATCTGGCTGTTCCCACTGAATGAATTAAGCACTTGTTTTACTGGCTGGGTGATGCCTATTTATTTTAAATTTTTCAGGAGATCTTTTTGTAAGACTACATTTTTGACATTACAGCTTTTTTGCCTTTCAGTCCAGTTCCCATTGGACCTGATCAGATCTTACTAAGAGGTGCGCAGATAAGAAACACCCAGTGGGTTTTAGGAATAGTCGTCTATACAGGACACGATACAAAACTTATGCAGGTAAAGTAGCACTTTTTTTGTCAACAGTATTGATTTATTTGTTTACTTACTCCCATTCGTAGTCCCCCTTGCCTGCTGAGATCAAAGCTGGATTATACAGTTGAGGACAATATAAAATATACGACCAACAGTGAGGAAATTTGGATGACAAAATTAGAGAACAATGGACTAGGAGCAGCATAATGCATACAGTGCAACAATGTAATGTGATGAAATAGTGCAATGGGACTGAAATGCAAAACTGGGAAATGGTACAATAAAAACTAGGTAAAATTTACAAGGAACAAAGCAATGAAAACTGCCCAGTTTTCACAGACTTTAAATAAAACCTAGTATAAAATACTCTTCATACTTACACATTTTTCCCATGGGGAAATGCAGCATTTTGGACAGTTTTTTTTAATTTCAGCAAAGTGTTTGGTTGCCGGCTTTTCAACTGGCCTTGTTGCTGTGCCTTTAACGTAGACTCAATATGCACGAATTAGGAAGCAAAACATTCCATAGCACAGAGATAAGTGCTACCATATGGTAATTGCTACAGACCAGTGTTCTGCTTAAGATACAGCTTCAGAGTTCATTGGCAAAATCTGCAACCCTGCTGAAGAGTGACGATTAAAAGACAACCCTTTACTCTTTTTTTATTGACATCAATATTCTGTGACCAAAGTAACACCTAACTTAAACTGCTGGGAGTGGTGAGGCGGAATCAGGCATGCTAGCTTCCATCTCTGCCCCTAAACTAGAAGACTGCACAATCTTGGTCAAAATGCCAGCACAAAACAGGATGGGTTCCTCTTGTGGAGAAGTATATAAGGTTGCCATGTTTTTTTTTCCTGGCAGGGCTCCTGTGCCTTTTAGAAGAAAATGACAGGTAAAACCTCAGGTTGTGTAGCTGATTCAGAGGCAGTGATGGGGGAAATTGCACCTTCTGAGTTTTTGGAAGCAATGCATGATTAAAAGCTCTGGAGCACTGCTAGGAAGATAATGGGCACCACACTTATTTTTTAGCACTGCAGGCATTTGTATGATGAAATGTTCTGCAAGCATTTGCTAATAAAAAAAATCCACTGGGGGAGGATTGCCATCCCTACTGCCACCCTTGGCAGCTATTTTAAAGGGCATCTTGTCTTAATTTCGTTTGTATTTATACCCATGTCTGTGAGTTGCTAGACCAATCACTGCTGAAAACTGGTCTCGGTGACATTGCAACCCATAGTAGCGATGCACTTGTGTTGGGAGTGGATCCAGGGCATCCTGTTGATGCAGCAGCATGACCCAATCAGTGCAAATCAACTAGCGCTGGATGTACGGTACGGCACAACCACATTGCCCCCAGAGCTGTGATGCAGCATAGATACTCGTAGGGCTGAGAACACGAAGGGGCAGAAAGATGATGGGACTGAGGCTGGGTTTGATGTTATGGGAGAGACAGGCTGCCGTCAAAAACAGCAGCCCTGCCAGTCCAATCCTCAGCAGAGTCACTCCAGTCAAAGTCCATTAATTCCATTAGGCTTAGGCTACATTAATTCTGCATAGGATTGCACTTGTACATCTTGCTTCCTCTCCCATTACCAGTAATGTCCAATGATACTGGAGATGGGGAAATGCCTTGTGAATTGCTAGAGATTACATGGAAGAGAATAGAAACATGAGACATTTCTGTTTTCAGCAGTAGGCATGAGTTTGTTAAAATGCCTAGTTCCACCCTGAGGATTTCTGTATAAAGCAGCTGCTTCTGTCCTTTATAATGAGTTTGGTTAATGATTCTTGATTTATTTAAAAGATTTCAAAACCTGTGTTTCTCCCCCAAATCATGCTTACATTTTTGTTCCTTTGCAGAATTCAACCAAAGCTCCCTTGAAGAGATCAAATGTGGAAAAAGTGACCAATATGCAGATCCTTATTTTGTTTTGCATCCTCGTTGTCATGGCTCTCGTGAGTTCTGTGGGTGCCTTATTATGGAACAGAACCCATGGCAAAGTCATCTGGTACCTTGGCTCAAATGGTAAGCAGGAGTACAATTGCATGATGCTAGTATTCACTGTTATAGATGCCTTGCCAAAAAACAGGGAGAAGAGTAAGTAAAGGCAGTGAGCTTAGAAACAACAATAGATGTCCAAACACACATTTTGTCCGATCATTCACAGACTGTGGTCTGTGGATCCCTGGGCTTCATGGGAGGAGCTTCTAAACAGAGACCAGCAATGGCAGACGACTGTTCCTGAAGAACACCATGATCCTGCAGTGCTCAGCCACAGAGTGGTTTACAGGATGCATGTTCTGTCAATGTGGCTTGAGAACAAAAGATCAAAAGGGCCTGCCATGTGTCCTGTTTAGATTGAGCCCATGCTTCAGAATCCGTGGCAGGTACTTAGAGTGTCTTTGGAGTACAAGGCGATGTGGGAAAGTGATCAGTGATAGTGGAAAGTTTGGAAACTGTCACACCATAGATCTTTCCTCCTCCAGCTTGGGGCTGTAGTGAAATTAATCCAAAACTGGGATGATGGATTCATCATTTTAAGTGTACGGAGAGCATGCAGTCACGGGAGCTAAGCAGCAGGTCCCGTTGAAGGTTCTGCTTTATTTGCCAACAAGTGCAAATAAAGTACAAAATGTGTAATTACGTACAATTACAAGCGGGACATAAACCCTGCTGAAATACAATCTTCTTTATGCTGTAAAGACCAAGAAAACCATTCACTATAACAGCCAAAGACTTCAGGGTTGGTACACACGACAGGCCTGTTTCGAATCGATATCTTTGTCAAGTTCTTAAGTCTTCATAAGGCTTGTGGGACTTCCACTAATAATAAGAGTGAAAACACAAGGTGGATAACTGCTAGAACAATTCTCTGTGTTTACAGCATAAAGAAGATGGCTTAGTCCCTTTAAGATTGTATTTCAGCAGGGTATATGTCCCACTTGTAATTGTAAGTAATTACACATTTTGTACTTTAGTTGCACTTTACTGAATAGCTTATCTTATAATACGCACTATAAATATTTTTGCAAAAAACAGATTTTGTTTACACTTTTCAAGGTTGCTTTTGTATGTTTGGTTGACCTCATTACTGGAAACCTTCTCCCTGCTTGTTTGCTTATTCGCCAGCAAGGCAGTGGGGCTCACCTCCCTCTTAGTTGCCACTTAGGGGTCGCTGTTGGCTTCTTCCTGCCGTGATGTGTTGGGGTGCTGCCGCCGCCATCGATATAATTGCTCAGGAGCAGGGATGTCAGGTGGACTGAAACACAGTGGTGAGGAAAAGCTTTCCCTGCTTTCCTTAAATGGAACCCGTGGTCGGGTGGACAGATCCCTGTTCTGCGGTGGAATTGAGGATATTTTGGTTGCAGGTGTCCTCACAGTGCTTTGTGGATCTTACTGATTATATTTTACGTCTATTGAAAATGTAGGTGGGAGGTTCTTAAAAAGCTTTCTGGATGCTATCAGGTGAGGCAGATGTACAAACCACAAATGAATGCCTCTGAAACAGTGTGATGAATGCCTGACTGATAGCCAGAGCCATTGTGAGCTCTTTTTCTCTGCTGCTGATTTAGATGCGTTGGCCAGTTGTGTAGGTCTCTTGACAAAGCTCTAATCTCCTCGGAGGGCAGCAGCTCTCCTAGGAGGCTTGTAGAGCTGTAGAAACATCCCATCTGCAACTGGCTTCAATCATAGCTTCTGAACAGAGTGCTCTTTTCCCGCCTAAGGGTGTCTTGTCGCTAATTCTTCCTTCTCTCAAAAATAGTTGGGCCAAAATTAGAACAAGAACAAAAACAAAAGGTTAGACGGTAAAAATACTAAAAATGGGACGGGGAGAAATTTAGAGGGAGGCAGTGATGAAAGGGGAGGGAAGGCGGCTTGGTAGAGTCCGATTTCATCAGATATTGAAAGCAAAGCCGGGTCAGTGCTTGGATGGGAGACCCCTGAGGGAGTCTCTGCGGAGGAAGGCCAGGGCAAACCGCCTCTGCTTCTCAGTCACCTTGAAAGCCCCTTGCTGGGGTTGCCATAAGTGGGCTGTGACTTGATGACACGGAAGTACGTACGTAGTGATGAAGTGGCTGCCTTTGTCAGACTGCTGAGATCCAGGTATTCTCCCCCCCACAGTTTTCTTGGAGCATTTGGTGATTGCGGATGGGGCTGTTTCCCAAAGCAAAGCACCCCCCCTCCCAAATTATAACTTGCCCTGCAGAGGAAAAATATAAAGTTGCCCCAGTCTTTTCCCTGGAAGAGGCAAATAGCACCTTTGATGCAGGAAGGGTCAACAGCATGCTCCTTTCCCGTCCACAGCAAGGGCACATGTGTGTGCGTGTGAGGGAGAGGCAGGTGGGAAAGGGGGCGGGTGCTGTAATTTCCCCATCCTAGAATCATAGAATTGGGAGGGACCCCCAGGGTCATCTAGTCCAACCCTCTGCACAATGCAGGAAATTCACAAATACCTCCCCCCCCCACCCCCAGTGACCGCTGTTCCATGCCCAGAAGATGTCAAAGAACCTCCAGGATCCCTGGCCAAACCAGCCTGGAGAACAATTGCTTCCTGATCCCAAAGTGGCGATCAGCATTTCCTTGGGCGTATAAGAAAGGGCCACAAGAGCTAAGCACTGAGGCAACCATTCTTGCCCTCCCTCTCATCATGATCTGCCTAAGTTCACAGGATCAGCATTGCTGTCAGATGGCCATCTAGCCTCTGCTTAAAAACCTCCAAAGAAGGAGAGCCCACCACCTCCCGAGGAAGCCTCCTGAGGGTGTGTGGCTTCTCCTCCTTTGCAGGAAAGAGAAGGAGGAGGGAAACTGCTGCAGTAGCATTAAAGAGCAGGATTGCAGCAGCAGTCGTGGAGGGGCGGAGAATGGGAGATGTGCTACTAGGGGAGGAGGGAGCTGGTTGCCAGCTGGTCCATTGCACTTCCGCCCTTTCAACTGTAAAGGTCCATCGTCTTCTGTGGGAAGACCTGGTTTCCAGACTCTACTGCCCATAGAAAATGATGGCTTCTTAAGGTTGAAAAGGCAGAAGTCCTGCAAATTGGTTGTGGTCTGGGGCGTGCTTCTGCCTCACTCTCTGATTCTGCTGCCTGCCGGGGGTGCGGGGTGCGGGGTGGAGTGTTTCAAAATATGTTGTTTTAAAAGGGTGTTGATCATTGTTTCCTAGGGTTGCCAAGTGCATCTTCGCCGGGAGCAGGGGGCTCCCAGCCGGCATCTGATGCGCGCATGCGCACCACACGCACATCACCCAGAAGTGACGTGACGATGCCAGGCACGCTGGGGGTGGGGCCACGGCCATACAAGGGAAAATGGAAATTGGGCCTCCAAAGCGGGTGTTTACCCGCCACCCCCCCCCCACTTGGCAGCCCTATTGTTTCCACTGATATGCTAGCAGCATTCTCAGTATTTTATAAGAACAATGATTATGTTCTTCTTGACTTTCTGATAATGGAATTAAGAGAACAATTTTGGAAGTGCACACCCTTAGCCAGAGAGCTACTTTTAAGTGCTTGGAGAGTGGCTGGTCACTCCTGGTGGTAGAGGGCAGGTAAAAACTGTTTTATTTGCTTTTGGTGGTTCTGTTTGAGGACTCCTTGTTGACTTATTGCTTCTTTGGGTTTTTTTTTTGTAATGAACCCAGGCTTCTGTATTACATCCAGGAAAATCTGACTTGTAGTTATGGTATGTCACAAAGACAACATGGGTTTTCAAAGCCCCCTTTATTTCTTTGGACTTACAAAGCTTTGTGGCAGCCATTTATTGGATTGAGCTTGTAAATGTCATAGTTGAGATGGTTTGCTATGCTTTTACTTTTTTTGCTATTTTGGCTCTGTGTTAAAGTAAAAGGATTTGATTTCGTATGTCCTTAAGATTTGAGCAGTTCTGTTGTTGTCAATAGTATTAGGTTTCTGTGATTCAGTTTCCAGTTTGATTTTAGTTATTTTTGTGGGTTTAATATTGCTGTGGGAGGGTTATCACAGGTCCTGGGATTCAGAATAATACGGGATAAAAGTGTTTAAAACTTTTTAAAAAATGCAAGTGGAACTAGATGAAACTATGTCTTACATCCCCATGTTCACCTTGTATTTCTAATGTGTGGGTGGCATTTGCTGGGGAGAATTAGTGAAAAAAGGTGTTGAAGACTTTCTCTGCTAGAGGCTTTGCCCCAGAACACCTTTCCTTGATCGTTCAACCCTCTCAAGCCAGCTCTGATCCTGGAGATAAGCCTTCCAAGAGGAAGAACAAGTTTGGAAGGAGAGGCTACAAGAGAGTGAAGGGAACGCTATTATCTGCTTTGGTGGTCCCGATGAGGGCAGAAAGGCGAGGAATAAATTTAGAACATATAAATAAAGCTATTCACTCCCCTCCTACTAATTTTTCCTGCAAATCACTGTACTCCCTCACAATAATGTTAGCTAGCAAACGTATAGGAGAAATATCTGTTTGCCAAGGTAATGTGTATTTCTGCTTTGTAATTTTCCTATAGATGCAAACTGTAGTTTGTAATCTCCCATAAACCAGGAACACTGCTGTTTAAATCACCTGAGATTCATTGATGTCAAACAGGGGCAACTGAAGTTGTCACATAATTGTGTTTTGGGCCTTCTGTTTGCACAGCATCTTAACTGGAATCAGCTGCATTGCATTTTGCGTACATGCTCAAAGGCCAGCACAAGAAGCAAGGGGGATGAAAACCTGGTATCTTAGCAGCTATCGGGGTTACCTGGTTGTTTTATGTAGTTGTCAATCTGAACACGATAGCACTTTGCACATTAAAAGTGGGACGTAGTTAATAGTTCTAGAACAATAGTTCTAGGCTGCTTGGATCAACTTCCATGACCTTTGCTCCCTGTCCCCCGTCCCCCAGTGACTGATGGAAGCTGGACCTCTGACAGTTTAAAGTAGGGTTGCCAAATGAATTTTGGCTGGGAGCGGGGGGCTCCCGGCCGGCGTCTAACTCGTGTGTGCGTGCGTCACTCGGAAGTGACGTCGCACGCTGGGGGTGGGGTTTCCCCCGGGCCCGATTCCGCGCGGGGCGGAAGTCGGGCCTTGAAAGCGGGGGGAAATCCGCCCCCCCGGGGGATTTGGGAACCCTAGTTTAAAGTTCAGAGGTGCTTACATTCAGGAATTCTCTTTAGCAAAGGCAGAACACTGGGCCCTCTGGGAAATCCTGGATTCAAATTGTAAAATACCAAGAGTGTTGTAAAATACCAAGGGCTTCTGGCCCCTTTTCTTCATCTCATTCTGCCCCTTCTGGAACCCTCATGTTGAGCTGTGCCTACATTTCACTACATGCAAATTATGAAGTTGATAACTTCAAACCACTGCAGGATCTATGATAGTCAAAAGCCTGTTCTTACACATCGAAAAAATGACATGTGGGGCAAGTGCCTTCGGGCTCTGTTTGGCTTTGCTGTGATGGGCTTCTCTATTACCACTGTTGTCGTGTTGAGACAAAGGACTAGGGAGAGGTATTGTGTTACGGAGAATGTTCAAAATGAGTGAGGCCGTGCTGAATTTCTGTTCAGAAAAAAATCCAGAACAAAAGGGGCTGGTTTCAGGTGCAAAATGTTGTTCAACCTTCTTTTTGTTCTGTTTGCTTTTAAATTTGCAAATCAGGGGCATCTTCCTGAGGTGATCCCAGCCAATCAGGAATTATAGAGGCAGTATGATGAAGTCATGTCTTTATACTGCCAATCTTCTTTGAGTAAATGACGATGTCACAAAGCGAGATCACAGAGGGGACACTTATTCTTGCCTTTGTATGGAATGGGCGAATGCTGTTGCCACATTCTGCTGATTCTTCCTGAGCAATCCCTGAAATGACACATATGTTTTATGTTCCCCCCTCATATTTGTTGAACGTGGACCCTCACATTTGAATGCCAAAAGACCCTGATGTATTGTTTGAATGCCCTGGTGTAGATTACCCTACTTTCAGACATACACAAATGAACACCGATCACTTTTAAGGGGTTACCAACTCTTGTGTGCTTTTGTTTGCTTAAATTCATAAACATTGGCAAATCTAGTATTATTCACTGTAACACAATCCATGTATTATGGCAACTCTGGGGAGTGGCATATCTATAGATTTTTAAAATGCTGAAGATGGTATGAGAGAGACATTGTTGCCCATATGGTGTAATTATACCAGTGTTGTCTGTCATTAAAATAAAAAGCTTTTCAGGGTTCAGAACCCTGCAAAACCTTTTTGATCAAGGATGGCAGCAGTACAAAAGAGCTGTGGGTGTACAACAAGGTCGGCTGTTGTGTCTCCAGCCTAGAGCAAACATTTAGGGCTTCTGTCCTCCTAAGCTAGCATGGCTCCAAAGCATGTGTGTCCTTTTTCTCAAACAATATAAATCTCAACTTATTCCACACATCTGTTTCCCCAAGTAGCACATGGGAGTTTCTAGCCTTTTTTGTGCCTCCTTCCAGATTCAGAAATGTATTGCTAAAATAGTAAGGGATTCAATCCCCCTGAAATAGGGTCTTCATGCAGTATTCATCCTTGGGTGTTGAGGGTTTTCCAAGAGTCAACCCGTTCAGAATCATCTTCTCCTCCTTCTGTCCTGCCCAGCCAGATTTCCCCTTGAGATTGCATGTTCTTCAGACCTTGTTATGCCCTTGGTAACCCAAACATGTAGGAACTTTCTTCTTGCTGGTTCAGCAATGGGCAGTGGTTTAGCTGTCGCTTCAGTGCAGAGAGTTAAGCAAACTGTTGCCTTCTAATCCTGCATTTCTAAGGATGTGTTGATCTTCCAACCCACTAAGATGATGCTCATGTGGGGCTAACTGCTTTCCTTTTTCAATTTATATCACTCCTGTATTGTAGAGTCTGATGCTCATTTGCATGTTCCTCTTTTTTGAAGCCTAAGTAGCTTGTGGAGAGTGTGGTTAAGTATGTCCAGGCGCTTGCCTCTCTAGTGACTCTCTGTTGTCCACGTTGGCCCACAGAAGCGCTGTCAGTCAACTTTGGATATAATCTGCTCACCTTCATAATCTTGTACAACAACCTCATTCCCATCAGTCTGCTGGTGACTCTGGAAGTAGTGAAGTTTACTCAGGCTCTTTTTATAAACTGGGTGAGTACAGGGAACTTAACGGGAGGGACACATATCAAATAATGCTAAAAAAGGTCAGCAAAGCTAAGTTGTGAATATGCAGTATTCTTCTGGCTTCCAGTCATAGCTACAGGGTTTTTCTTTTGCTTTCGAGGCAGATTTTTAATATGGGAAAGAAGATCCTTCTATGTACACAGTGAATTCAGATTTCTGGACTCCATGGAGAGACCAAAGTTGATCAGAGATGATTTCAATATACAGAAATAGCACATGGCACATTTCTTCTTAGACTGTACCATTTCTAGATACAAGTGAAGCAACTGCATGTTTGATCCTTCCATCATGGAAAAAACATCCTCTATATGGACAGCTAGCATGTGTATGATAAAATTTCCAGCCTAGCTTTCTCCCTGACAAGCAAAATTCTCATGTGTAAAATAACCTTTGATACAGTTGAGTATTCAAACATGAGATTCTCCACCTGTATTCCAGGAAAAGTTTTCACATGCTTGACTCAACCCTCATTGCTTTTTGACCTGCTGTGTACAAGTTTTTTTACCTATGCCTGTCTTTATCTGCCAAATGAGGACATACTTTATGCCTATGATGACGTGGGCTGTAGTCTGCAAAAGCTTATACTGTAATAACAAAGTCTGTAAGAGGCCACAAGACTCTTCTAAAAGACGTTTTTATACTAGTGCCATGTGATTGTGGAAGCCCCGTGAAAGAAATGATTCCATTTCATTGTCAGGATTTAGATTTGTTTTTGTGCTTCCAGTATCCTCTCTTATGAATACACAGTATTTATATTTAATTGATATAGAATGCTCCACTGCCCTGATTCTCTCAATTACTGCCCTGGAATAGCCTAAACCCAGCTTGACGCCACAGTATGTAACGCTGTGCTTGCATCAGAACCTGGTCCAGACTAGGCAGAAGTGTCCATCAGCCAGCTTCACTGTGAAAGGGTGAAGGTACATGAGTGGTATCAGAAGGGTGCCCTTGTGAGCACTGGGATTGGAGGAACCTGCTAAAACCATGTATTTGGCTTCCTTGATGCTGTGAGTGGTGTTTCAGCCATCCCTTGTAGAAGGCAATGGGTTGGGGATTGCACATTGCACATGACATGACATGCTGTTTTTCCACAATGGGTGAGGTTTATCTGTAAAGACTGACTGGACCATCAGTGAAATGAACTCTGTTCTACCTCTGCTTTCTAGCAGTACCCTCTTCGAAAGAACTGGGGCAAACTGGAATGGAATATACTATGAAAACTGCCACAGATTCAAATGTAAACTTCATGCCTTTTCCTTGCTTTCACCCTTCTTTCAGGACATAGATATGTATTATAATGAAACAGACACACCTGCAATGGCCAGAACTTCAAATCTTAATGAGGAGCTTGGCCAGGTGAGATCGTGAACATGTGCTGCTGTACTGGAGTGCTTGCTTGGGAAAAAAAATTAAGGCATCCAGAACTTGGTTGTTCAACTTTCGCAATCTGTGAATGTACTTGGGGTGTCAGGGGGGCTAGCACCAGAACTGTAGATTCCCCCCACCTCACAGCAGTGAGCCACAAGATACCATTGTCTCTGTTTGTGAAGGCACACCTTCGGAAGCTTTAGATTACTGTGGAAGTTTGCTCAGTAGGGGGATGCCTACTACAGTATGTCATGGTACTTTTAGCTCCTTGTGTAGCATTTGTGTGATCCCATGAACAATGTCATGAAATCTCCACTGAAAGGAAGTTTTACAATTTCAGCCATTCCTTGATGTGCTTTTTAGTCACCTGTGACTAGAAACTCTGTTTTGAAGCCTCAGTACAAGGCAAGAGCCATTGTTCAGTGATAGAGCTCATGCTTTGCAGGCAGAAGATAGCCGTTTCATTGGCCAGCATGGGAATGCAGAGAATAACCTTTGCTTGAGAACCTGGAAAGTCCACTGCTTCAAACAGTACTGGGCTATATAGACCATTGGTATCACTTGATATACAGCAGACTCACATTCTAAATACGTTGCCTGTCTGTGTTTTTCTCTCTCAGTCTTGCAGCTGATACTTGAACACACAAAGCTGCCATTTAGTGAGTCTGTTGATCTCACTTTGGTCTGCCTGGACTGGCAAAAGCTCTCTAGGGTCTCAAAAGGAGGTCTTTCACATTGCCTGCTACCCAATCCTCTTAAATGGAGATGTTAGGAATTGAACCTGGAACCTTCTGCATACAAAGCAAATGCTATCAAGCCAGACTCCGTTCCTTTCTGTACTGGGGACATGGCCTCTCCTGCAAATGTGCGGTGATATTGGCAATAGGAGAGCCATGGCTTGTTGATAATGTTGGTATAGTCATAAAAAAGAGAAAAATGTGGAATCACCGGTTGTTGATATACACATATTTTAGTGCATAATAAATCTGTCCAGTGTTTATGACGGTTTGGATCCTGCAGTGAGTGAGAAGGTTCCTCTAACGGAAGGAATCCTCCTGTGAAGAAAGGTGTCTTCCATCAGAGGAAGACTGTCCACTTGCAGCAGGAGATTATTGGATCCAGCCCTATGGTGACTGAGTCCTAACTGTGTTCAGGATTGCAAAAAAAAAAAAAAGACAGTTCAAGGTCACAATCCAGGCAACATTAAACAATCTTGAAACAAATCAAAGAGATTTAAGCTCGCGCTTAACTCTCCTCTGAAATCATTGTTGTCTACAAGTGCTAAACTTTGCTTGTATCGCGGCTTCACTTTTCAATATACATAGTTCTATCAAATATTGTTTATCTTTATGATGTTGACAGTTCTGGTGCCAGGGAATGGGCTATTGTCACATAATGCCATTCTGCTAGTCTGCATAACCTTAAAATGGCTGGTACTTCAGCTGAGCTATTTTTTTTTGGGTAAATTACCTTATTTAAGCATCTGAAAGGGAATCTATCTGTTTCTGGCCAATTATGCCTATTTTTGTTTCCTGTGGTTTCCTTAATTGATACAAATGCATTATACTTCACTGCATTTTGTTTATATTCTAGGTAAAATACCTGTTTTCTGATAAAACGGGCACCTTAACATGCAATATCATGAACTTTAAGAAATGTAGTATTGCTGGAGTTACATACGGGTATGTATCTTTGCAGTATACGCTGTAGTAGCTTATTGGTCTAGTGTTCATAGAGTGACAGATTCTTTAGTTTTACATAATACATAGTTTACACTGTTAAGTTTGGGGGGGGAATACTTTTCCCCTCCAGATGTGGCTGTAAAGATCTGTTCTTCTCATTTGGATTTTGCAAGCAACCCAAATGTTAATGATAGCAGAATATGATGGCTAAAATACATCTCTCTGGACTCCGATGGTAAGAATGTAGTCCCATGGCCATAAGTCATGGTTGATCTGAGGAATAAGAGAAAGCTCCTTTCTGTATTCCATAAGCTTCCATTGTATTCAAAGCAGGTTGTATGTTTTAAGGTTTCCTAAACAGTAAATCCTGGGTTTTTTTCCAATTTGAAACCATCTGGCTACCCATTTGTGCTTTTGGTGTGTCATTCTGTTTTTAGTGTGAGCACAAATACTTACAGTAGCCACTTCTATATTTCACTGCACTTCGGATCATGAGTCTCTCTCAGATAAAACAGAGACATCTCAGTTGTCAAAGTTCACTGACTAAAAATGGAAGCCTTGCCTGACGGACCTTAAGGGTGGATAGTGGAAGATGGTGGAAATGCCCCTGATATTAACATGGCCATATTTCAGCAGTCCTCAGCATTATCAGTGGAGGCACAGGGCTGCTTATTGGGAAAGAGGAAGGCGTGTGGCAATTCTGGAACACTTCGGTCTTAATGAACCATATTTTTAAAATAGGGAGGAATCAAGGAGGAGCTCCATAAAGAACCCAGTCTTTATAAACCCTGTTTCATAATATTCTTTGATGCTGTTATCACATTTAATCTACGGTATGTTACTGGGAAGGAAGAGCATGAAGTCCTTGCAAGTGGTGGGATTTGGGTTCCTTGGATGGATGCATTTCCAGCTGCAGGTTTCCAGTCCTAGATTCACTTGGCCTTGTCTTTCTGTACTCCTCATTCAGAGGCTCCATCGTAGTCAGATGAAGCTTTGCTGCTTTCAGGATGTCTTCTTTTCTTTTGGCCAGATGGTTAATTAGTTGTGCTTATTCCCTTTTAGTCACTTTCCAGAACTGGTCAGAGAATGTTCATCAGAATATTTCAGGTAGGTAAACAATCACTGGCAATAGTTTGACATTATTTAGTGGGGAATTCCTCTTATTACGAACCTGAATTGTCATGGGCAAGTGACAAACATGAATTGGCTCCGGGCAAATGTTCAGATGGCAGACCTCTGGCACAGTTATTTCTGGCAGCAGCAAAGCAAGTGTAGGAAATGCAGGTAGAAGAAAGGAAGCCAAGGAAAGATATAAACTGCATTACATCTGAAGCTGAGCTAAAGGAATTATGTTAACTGGAAACAAATTTATCCTGCCTTTCCACAGTTTAGTCCTCCAGTGGTCTACAACAGATAAGATTCCAAGATATAATCATATTTAGGTGGGAATGCCAAATAAAACTTCATTCCTTGGAATTTTCAAGGATACCCTGTCTTCCTAGGATCTCCAAACAGCAGTATTTTAGATTTATTTTGACTTACATGAAGTTGCTCCTTTCACAATTATTTATTTATTTATTTATTTATTTATTTCAGTTTATATCCCATTCTCCCTGCCAAAGCAGGCTCAAGGCAGCTGTACAGGTATTAGCCACCCAGGCCAGTCCAGGGATGGGAGGGAACCCTCTACTTTTACAGTACATTAAACAACAAACCACGAGATGGTCTATATCCTCTATGGTTTCCAGAACAATATGCCACCAGAACCTCTTTTCACTAGTCCCTGCCTTTCCTAAAGGAGAGATTCCAAACCCTTAGTTAGCATCTGGGATTTAACACAATAGCAACTCTATCCAGAGGTGCACACTTTACTCTCCAATGGTAGTGTATATGGTGAGCGTTTAGGCCACAAGATTTAGGCTTGGAATGCAAGTTACAAAATCAGAGACCCATTAGAAATAAGAATAATTTTTATTCAGTACAGAGCATAACACAGACTATCAGAGATTACCAAAATGACAAACCTAAGGCGATTTCCCTTAACTACACAGTAAAAGATACATATTTACCAAGTTCAGGAACATCCAAACAGTCCAAAATAGTCCAAGGGATTTTAAGGAGAAATCCCATCCTTGCACCCATGTGCTCCAGTTCACAAAGCAACTCTTTGTCTCTCATGAGGCAGCATTTCCAGGTGCAATAAAACAGGCAATGACAAGAGGAGGAAGGGAAGAGATCAAGAGCTAAGAGAGAGGTCATTCCCACAGGAACTAAACAACCACAGCCCAATTCCAGTCACAAATTAGATGTGGCTATTAGCCAATTGCACATGGGCATGGGTGTGCCCAATTGTTGGTTGTCATAGTTGCATGTGGGGATAGGCTAGAAGTTTGGAGACCACGCCTGCAGTCACATGACCCCAAACTCCAGCTTCTCCATTGCCTACGTGACTTTTTGCATGCGGGCCAGAGTCAGGAGCCATTAGGTCTGGCTCTTCCACTTAGAGGTGTGAAAGAATGTGTAGTTATATGGCATGGCTATTGAGGCCATTTGGCCTCACCATTTGGCTTGCAACAGGAAACAAGACACAGCATGTTATCAAAAGACATCACAGGAGAAGGCATGAGACTTTTAGAAATCAATATTTCTATACAGCAGCTTACATAAAAATACATATATAAATACAATTAAAATCAATCATAAAACACATAACAATTAAAATTAATTACCCTAAAGCGCTGGAACAGGGTTCAAGTAAAGTGTGAGAGCAGAGTTTCAGATTAAACAGTTTTACTTCGGTGACAATCATGATGGTATTCTTGCGCCAGCTCAGTTGATCCATTTATATGTGTGGTGGACACCGGCTGTGAGTTGTAGGTCAGGGCACAGGGTCACTTCTCAGGTGTTTACTGCGGCTCCTAATCAAAGGCCTGGTGGAAGAGCTCCATCTTGCAGACCCTGCGGAACTGTAAGAGGTCCCACAGGGCCCTTATCACTTCCAGGAGCTCGTTCCACAAGTATGGAGCCACCACTGAAAATGCCCTCGCCAGCCTGGCATCTTTAGGGCTTGTGAAGGCCAACTGATTTTGGGTCCCTGAATGCAGTGCTCTACCCTTGGGCCACTCTGGCTCAGGCACAGGACTTCCGTCTTGATTGATTTGGTTTCTTAAGTCCTGCCTAATCAATGATAGTAGGAAGACACCATCATCATAATGCATTGTGTTAATTTGATGCCCCTCTAATGATGGAGCCATTACACTCACTTTTGACAAGAAGGGACTGAGATAATCTAAGTAGAGTGCAAAAAGTGTTGGAGCCAAAATGCAACCCTGCTGCACTCCTTTCACCACAGGTATTCTCTCTCTTGGAGCCATGGTGGTTAAGACGCTGAGCTGCAGACCGGAAGGTCTGTAGTTCAGCTGTTCGAGACCCTAGTGCTGCGTGACAGAGTGAGCACCCATCCCTGGCCCCAGTTCCTGCCAACCAGTTTGAAAGCAAGAAATTGCAAGTAGATAAATAGGTACTGCTTCAGTGGGAAGATAACAGCATTCCGTGTGTCTCAGCGTTTAGTCGTGCCGGCCACGTGACCATGGAGGTCTTCGGACAGTGCTGGCTCTTCGGCTTGGAAACGGGGGTGAGCACCGCCCCCTAGAGTCGGATTCAACTAGCTTTCGGATTCAACTAGCCGTTATGTTTACCTTTTTATTCTCTCTCTTAAAAGACCTTTCCTCGACAACCTGATCTATAGATTTGTGCTTGTTGTTGTTGTTTTTGTTCAGTCACACAGTCGAGTCTGTCACTTTGCGACCCCATGGACCACATCACGCCAGGCTGTACTAGTGTACAGTAACTGAATTAAATGATAATAAACTTTTGAAATTGCACACTTTTGTAGCTTGGCCCACAACTTTTCTTTCCTTATAGTATCAAATGCCGAATTTAAGTAAAAAAAGGCAGCATATAATCCATTCATCTTTAAATATATCTCAGCCAACTGTGCTAATTATCCCATTGTACATTATAAAATAGCCCTTACTAAAGCCAAATTGTTCAGGTCCCCAAATCCTCAGGCAGCACATACACTAAAATTGATGCCTAAATAAGCAGGTGTTCCAAAGACAAGGCATCACTACAGAAAAGACCCCATAGCCAGTCTGCCACCATCTTGAACTCTGAAGGTGGGTGGAGTCATCTGAAGCAGTATTTAGGATGAAAAGCTTGGGATTCAACTATACGTGACTTGTGACTAGAGTCAGATTGGGGATCCCCTGACCTGACTTACAGTCACATATACATCGAGGGACTCACCTTAAAAACTGCTGTATCACTTATGGGGCTGTGAGCACTGTGAGGGGGGAGGGGGAGCTTCTATCTTCACTCCTCTACCCTTTTTCCCTAGCGGAAATGGCTGCGCGGGGGGGTCTTGTTTGCCTCTTCCTCAGGCTCCACGTGTCCTTGACCACATGATCCCAGGACACATGGACCCTGAGGAAGGGGCCAACAGCCTCCCCATGGCATGAGAATGAGAAGTATGCTTATTCTAACAAGACCGTGTGACTAATTTGGCTGCTGTTTTCTAAGTCAGCTCAAGTTTCCAAATATTCTTCAAAGTCATATCTGTGCGTAGGGAGGTGTATACAACCACCTGCAGACTTTGCAGAGATTTCCCACCTCTCCTGCTGCTGTCCACTGAACACCCCCCCCCCCAAAAAAAATTATTCTTGAAGATCAGCACTGGGAGCAAAGGGAAGGTCGGTAGTGGGAGGGGGGAATAGTCAAAAATAATTCCCCCCCTTTCCAAAGACCTAAGTGGCAGTAAGTCTTCAGAACAGCATGGTTGGATACATGTCAGTGTGTATATTAGAGAGACTATTTTATCTTCTCTTTTTCCAGAACTGCAACCCCCCCCCCCCCAGCAAAAGGCAGCTAAAATATTTCTTTAAAAGCTTTGCTGGCAGAGAGCCAAAGTTAAATTGTCGAGTATGAACTTTACATTTCAAGTGCCTAGATATTAGGATATTTTGTTAACATAGCAAAAGCGTATGAGCGCAGAGCAGTACCGCCGGGCTGGCGTTGATTGACCATGGAACATCATGGTCCATGGCATCCTCCTCTTGGATCCCAATGTGATGTGCAATAGGGAGTGAGCACGTAAATCGTGATGGATCCCGTGAATGTCCACTTGTGTTGAATCGTTTTAACTTGTATTTTATTGCACTGTGTGCCTTAACTGGTTTTAAATTTGTGGTAAACTTGTGGTATTGTATTATATTTGTGCTTTGTAAGCCGCCCTGAGCCCGCGTGCGGGGAGGGCGGGGTATAAATGAAATAAAATAGATAAATAAATAAAATAAAAGTTTGGGCCATAGAAGCATGACACTGAGTGCAGTAAATAGACCTCCCAAGAAGTATATGGCAAAAGAGGTAAACTTACATTTATTCAGGTACATCCCTGTTTACATTCACTGCCACAGGAAGTGGTGGGTGCTACAAGCATGGACGGCTTCAAAAGGGAATTAGATAAGCATATGGAGCAGAGGTCCATCAGTGGCTATTAGCCACAAGGTATAGATAGGGGCTCTGGGGCAAGTGATGCTCTGTCTTCTTGGTGCTTGGGGGGGGGGGTCAACAGTGGGAGGGCTTCTAATGTCCTGGCCCCACTGCTGGACCTCCTGATGGCACTGGTATTTCTGGCCACTGTGTGACACAGAGTGTTGGACTGGATGGGCCTTTGGCCTGATCCAACATTGGCGTCTCTTATGTTCTTATGTTAGTCAAAGGAGAGAAAGAAGCCTAATCTGAAGAGTACTTTCCCTGTCACAAGTGGCCAGCTTGTCCGGCATCGCGTGTGTGGGAGTACGAGGGCATTGTCTCTACAGGAGAGACCTGCAGAGACATCTGTCTCCATGGAAGCCATGTGAAGTGAGAGGGAGGGTTCAAAGGGCAGCTCCCAGGGTAAGACAAAGGGAGGCATCCCATTCAAGGAGATAACACCTGTACGCACTTAGAGTGATGTAGCCCCCCCCCCCCAATGTCCCAGCATGCTGAGTCACTCATTCCCACACTAGACTCATTCCCTGACATTTGTGGTTAAAAGACCAAGACTTAGGAAAGACTTTTTCTTCCCAGGACTCCAGATCCAGAATGCTGCTACCAGTCAGAGGAGATAACTATGAGCTACAATTGACCAATACAGATTAAAGCAGGGATGTTTGTGTTTGCTAATTCATTTTGTGCGTAATATTTCATTTTGTGTGTATTACTAATGCATGTTTTAAGGCAATTGTAATGCTTCTTTTTATTGCGTCTGTAGCCAGCTGGCTCCTTCCACCAGCGATTCTTGTGAATTCGATGACCCAAGACTGTTGCAAAATATCGAGACTGATCATGTAAGTCTGTTTTTCCATTATGGATGGTTCTGCTATCTCCTGCTAGACATCCTTTTTTTTGGGGGGGGGGGCCCTGAGTATTAGCTTAAGCCACTGGGCTGGAGCACGTTTAGGGTAGCCCCTGGTGTGAACAGTTTAGGAACAGGTGGGGATTGTGGCCGAGCTCTGCTCACGAGAGGGTGCCATTTGTTGTAACTGTTGCCTGCATGTTGGGGCTGAGATGCAGTTAAGACACTTTTGTGGGACTGGTTCTCTGTTGTTCCTCACACACAGCACAGTTCTGTATCCCTCCCTTTTCCGAAGAGCTCATGGTGTAATGCAAGGCTCTCCACCCCTCCGCTGTGAGTTTGGTTAGGTTAAGAGAGAATGATAGGCTGAAGGTCACCCAGTGAGCTTCGTGGATAACATTCATTCATTCATTCATTCATTCATTCATTCATTCATTCGCTCAGTTTATACCCCGCCCTCCCTGCCGAGGCAGGCTCAGGGCTGCTTACATAAAATGCATATAAATACAATTAAAGTCTATCATAAAAACAGCCATAAACAGATCAGTTATCAGTTATCCTAAGGTGCTGGAACAATACTCGAATAAAGTGCGAGAGCAAAGATTTCAAGACTGAACAATACTACTTAGGTGACAGTCATTATGGTATTCTCACATCAGCTCAGTTTGGTCGACTAATTTATGTGGCGAGACAGACTGAAGGTGGTAAAGCCAGGGTACAGGGTCACTCCTCGGTGTTTGAAGCAGCTCCTAGTCAAAGGCCTGGTGGAAGAGCTCCGTCTTGCAGGCCCTGCAGAACTATAAGAGGTCCCGCAGGGCCCTGATCTCTTCTGGGAGCTCGTTCCACCAATACAGAGCCACCACTGAGAAGCCCTGGCCCTGGTTATTGCCAGCCTGGTGTCTTTGGGGCCTGGGAGGGCCAGCCGGTTTTGGGCCCCTGAACGCAGTGCTCTCTGGGGAACATATGGGGAAAGGTGGTCCTTTAGGTATGCCGGATCCTGACCATAAAGGGCTTTAAAGGTCAAAACCAGCACCTTGAAGCGAATCCGGTATGCTGTTGGCAGCCAGTGCAGTGCTTTCAGCACAGATTGGATGTGCTCCCGTGTAGAGGCCCATCAGCAGCCTGGCTGCAGCATTCTGCACCAGCTGCAGCTTCCGAATTTGGAAGGGAACCAACTGCCTAATCAGCTGAAGATGGTAAAAGGCTGACTTGGCAGTGGTTGCTACCTGGACCTCCATTGTTAAGAAGGTATCCAAGAACACTCTCAGACTCCTAACCTCCGGTGCTGGCCGAGGTTGGGAGTGGGATCCCAGCCCTTAGGCCACCCCGGCTCAGGCACAGGACCTCCGTCTTCATCAGATTCAGTTTCAATCTACTCAGTCTAAGCCAACCAGCCACGGCTTGTAACGCCCAGTCCAGATCTTCCAGGGTAGAGTCAGATTGGCCACCCAACAACAGATAGGCCTGGGTTTCATCCACATATTGGTGACACCCCAACATGCCTCCGGGCAATCTGGGCAAGGGGACTCATATAGATGTTAAACAACATTGGGGAAAGTACTGCCCCTTGGGGTACTCCACAGGTCAGTGGATGCCTTTGGGACAGCTGTTCCCCTAGCGCCACCCTTTGTCCCCGACCCTGGAAGAAGGATGTGAGCCCTGAGTCGGCGAGGCAGTGGATCAGTAGTTGAGGCTCGATCTTATGGGGTATTCGCTCTCATGACGGCCATAAAACGATATCCTTTTGGACCTTTAGAAAAAAGTTTAAACTTTTTAAATCCCTCAGGTCTTTGGGGGGAAATGAATTTCTCCGAATTCAGTTTTTATTACGGCCCACAGGCCATTCGGAAACCTGACAGGTCCAGTAACAACAGCACTGCTGATCTGCCTCGATCCAGATGCCTCCGGAGGTCATCCGTGAGGGCAACCAGTGCTGTATCTGTCCCGTGTCCCAGGTGAAAACCAGACTGGGAGGGGTCTAGAGTGGAAGTGTCATCCAAAGAGCTCTGTAACCGGACTGCCACGGCCCTCTCGATTAACTTGCCCAAATAGGACAAGTTGGAAACCAGCCGGTAGTTAGCCAATTAGTCTGGGTCCAAGAATGGTTTTTTCAAGAGGGGACGGACCACGGCCTCCTTAAGTGTCCCAGGGAACTGAGTACGACTCTTCGCGACCCCATGGACTAGATCATGCCAGGCCTTCCTGTCTTCCGCCGTCCTCTGAAGTTTGCTCAATAATATATCAATATATTAATTTTCAAATAAACTTTTTTCTATTTATAGTTACTTATAGTAATTTAAGCAAACAGTTGTCCTAAAGAACAATGACAAAGAGGCTTTTTTAAACAATGCTAAGTACAAACAAAACTTGCAACTCAAGTACAGCTGTTTTCCCTTTCTCCCTTTCTCACAATACAAGAACTCGTGGGTAATCAATGAAATTGCTGAGCAGTCGGGTTAGAACAGATAAAAGAAAGTACTTCTTCACCCAAAGAGTGATTAACACGTGGAATTCACTGCCACAGGAGGTGGTGGCGGCTACAAGCATGGATGGCTTTAAGAGGGAATTAGATAAACATGGATCAGAGGTCCATCAGTGGCTATTAGCCACAAGGTGTAGATAGGAAGTCTCGGTCTGGGGCAAGTGATGCTCTGTATTCTTGGTGCTTGTGGGGGGGCAACAGTGGGAGGGTTTCTAGTGTCCTGGCCCCACTGCTGGACCCCCTGATGGCACCTGGTATTTTTGGTCACTGTGTGACAGAGTGTTGGACTGGATGGGCCATTGGCCTGATCCAACATTGGCTTCTCTTATGTTCTATGTGCATAAGCACTTGGACATCTAAATGTGCAGTAGTATAAACTTCTCAATGAAAAATGTCCAAAGGCTTGCTTAAACATATAAAAATGAAACTATTAATGTTGAACTCAAAATTATTCTGACAAATATTCCAGATATTTTCTCTTTGTTTCAAAGTACTCCTTCTTCAAAAGTAACAGTTCTTAACAAACACAAATATAATTCAATAAGATTACAATTTTCATTAGTGTTGCCAACGTGACCTAAAAGAGCCTACCTCTCTTGCGTGAAGCAATGAAATCGACTTGTATTATTCAGTCCTTTTAGTATAGTATAGTATGAATGAATGAATTTTATTGTTACAGCGCATAGCCAGCAATGGTATGGTATGGTATGGTATGGTATGGTATGGTATGGTATGGTATGGTATGGTATGGTATAGTATAGTATAGTATAGTATAGTATAGTATAGTATAGTATAATAGGATTTTTTTTCATTGTTATCTTTAGGATTATAGGAATCCTTTCAGGATAGGATTTTTTTTCATTGTTATCTTTAGGATTCCTATACTAAAAGGATTTATTTATTTATTTATTGAAATTTATTATTTATTTATTTATTGAATAATATGCGTCAATTTCATGCAACCTGGTGATCTAGAATAGAGCCTAGAGCAGATCTAAAGGAACCATTGATCCCATTTGGAAGGGGGTCACTGGTGTTGTAATTTATTATCTACTTTCTCCGCTTAAAGGGGAATGTGATGCATTCAGCATCTCTGTGTGCTCACGGGAGCATATATGGGGCTCTGAGTGTGGGTATTGTGATCAAGGCAACAGGATGACAAGTATGCAAGAACTACTGTGCATCACCTTTGAGACAATCAAGAAATGTTCTGTGCCAGGGAAAACTGGCTGTGATCCAGAAAATGGGACAATTGCACATGCTTGGTTAGAACATGAGAATATAAGGAAGTCTGTTGGATCAGACCTTTGGGTCATCCAGTCCAGCATCCTGTTTCACATAGCAGCCAAACAATTGCCCTGGTGGGCCAACAAACAGACACAGAGACCAAGACCTCCTCCTAGCATTGGTATTCAGCTGAATTTTATCTCCTTGTTTTCAAAAATCAGATTTTTAAAAAATTTGCCTGATAGCCAGTGTGGCATAATGCTTAGAAAGCTAGATTAGGACTGGGAAAAACCCAGACTGAAGTCCCTCACTCTACCAGGAAACCCTCTGAGTGGGCCAGTCCTCAGCTCTCTATCTAACCTTCTTTGCAGGATTGGTGAGATGATCGAAGTAGAGGGGGAAGATGGACCATATACTCTGTCTTGTATTCCTTGGAGAAAGGGGGGAAGACAGTGATCTAAACTAATAAGCGATATTATATTAGACTCACTTCATGCATTATTTGTGTGGTGCAGGATACCTTGAGATTTGATGTTAGGGCAGCGAAATAAGTATTCAGTATTAACCCAAATCTAATAGACAAAGTGCAGATTAAAATTACTTGCCCCAACTTGAGTTAGACAATGAGAAATAAGGCAACCTGTACCATCCACAAATATCAGGACATTGTTATCTCTGAGGCGGTGTTTTAAACATTTTCTTTTGGCATTAAGCAGTGGAATAAATTCAGCACCGCTGGTGACACTGTATGTCAAAGAGAGAACAATGGTTGTGTGGTGGAGCTGATGTGATAAGGCAGCCCTCATTGTTGCTATTGAATCAGGTGGGTGGAATCTATTGTATGCTGTGAAAATGGGAGGACAAAAGCAGACTGAATAATTGATTGCATACAGGGAGATTATGGGGTGCCCCCTCTCTCCAATGCTAAAGAAAGCTAGATTGTTCTCTGTTGGCTGATGAAGCTTGAGGTGAAGGTGTGTACTTGGACAGATGATAACAGCTGTCATACAAACAATAAGAGTCCACAGTGATTGGCCAAGAACTGAGACAGGTCCATTGGTCTGATCCAGTGAGGCTGTACTTTCATTCTTGGATGTAGTAAATCAGTTCCCTTTGGTACTGGTGTTTGCCAGCCCATAGCCATGAAGAGGAATGAGTATACGGCGGGGGGGAGTTCATCCCAAACCCCGAGACCTACAATTGGCTTAGGGAATGACATGCAGTCATCTTAGGGAAAAGTGCTTTCCTTATAATCATGTTGGGAGCCCTTTGTTGATTTATTAGTGTACCTCTATTTTTCCTTTAAGAGATGTTGCAGAGCATAAGGCAAGGAGGAGTGGTTTAAAACCGTGCTGGGAAGGCTAAGGTGTGGGGGAGGTAGCAATTAATCACTGCTTTAATATTAAAATGGGAGGTTCCTGAATGACACCTGCCTGCAGATTACTCCCTCCAGCCTAGATATTATCTTGTGATGCCAGACAAGTAGATCTGTGTGGTTATTGTGTAGTGAGGAGAAAGCACTCTCTGCACATGTGCAGAGAGTTTGCAGTCTCTCCATTCATAGAATGTATGATTCTTGAGATCAGATTTACTAAGATTCTCCATATACCTTATTACTCAATACTGTTAGGTTCTGGGTTCAAGTGTACTTGAGAATTATGCTTCTTAAGGTCCTTTTGCCCTAATCCCAGATTTGGGGGGAGGTGAGGACAGGGAACTTCGTTGGGAGTTCAGCACATGTTCAGAGGTGTACGTTCTTTCACATAAGCAAGGTACAGCAAAGTGACTTGCAATGAACGCTTCTAAACAGAAACTGGACATACTTTTTTTTTTGCTTCTTTTCCACTTGCCTTGGTGCCCCACCTACTCCTGAGGGCCAAGTTGATGTAGCAGTTAGAATATTGAAACCAGGAGTTTGGGAGACCCGGGCTCGAAGCTCTACTCTAGACTAGCGTTCCCTCTAAGCTTAGTTAGTGTGAGTTAGCTCACAGTCTTTTAGCCTCCAGCTCACACATTTTTGTCTTCGCTCAGGAAGGATGGCTTCAGAACAAACTAATTTATGGAGTAGCCAAATCGCTCACTCAACTTTAATGCCAGTAGCTCACAAAGTAGAATTTTGGCTCACAAGACTCCACAGCTTAGAGGAAGCATCGCTTTAGACCTCTACAAAGCGTATACAAATTGGTAACCTTGCATACATCTAATGTTTATGTATAATTTTTAGGTCAAAAACACAAAAATCCAAAATTCACTTTAAATACACATGGGGGTACATGAACATGAAGATTATTTAAGTTGCATAAGAGGCAGAGAGTTAAAGATTACTATCTTAGCAGATAACCTTTCTCAGAACTGTAGTCTTCAGTGCATTAGAACTAACTAAAGAAGATCATTTTTTGAAATTAGTAGTATATGGGAGCTCCTCTTATCTTCATGGTTGTATACTGCCTGTGTGAGCTTTGGATATTGTCACATTTTACGTATGGCATTGTTCCCCTGGATTTTTGTGTTTTTCACATGAAAATTATATATACACATTATATTTATGCATGGTTATCAATTTGTTAATGCTCTGTAGGGGGTCTTTACTGTGTAGTTTCTTTCTTGTTTGCCTTTGTACTGAGACCTCTCTCCCCTTTTTTCTATCCCCCCCCCCCGTCTTTCTGCTCTGCCCTGGAAGCTTGCTGGGGGATCTTGGGCCCCTCACACACCCTGAGCCTAAGCTACCTTGCAGGGTTGTTGTGAGGATAAAACAGGAGAGAAGAATGATGTAAGCCCATTCAAGTCCCCATTGGGGAGAAAAGTGGGATATAAATGAAGCAAATAAAATAAATTATCTGCTGTAAACAAAGGAGGCAATCCCAGAATAATATGAATGTTACTTAAGCTTTCTTCTCAGTGGGGAATTTCACATTACCAGTCTTCTCCCGGTTTCAAGCCGGGAGTCTTCCGTTTCCAGATGAACCGGTACAGGGCTGCCGTTTCACACACGGCTTGCCCCTACCGGAAAGGAGCCGATTCACAAGCGGTTTGGCATTTCACACTGGCACCGCTTTGTTTTCCCGCCGTTTTCTTCCCGCGCAGGTGAGCGATTTTTTTTTAAAGGTTCGGCTTATAGCGATATATCGATATATCACTATACCAGAACCTCAAATGGTCGCAATAACGATCCCATTGGAATGCGACTCCTTAGAGGTTCCGGTATAGCGATATATCGATATATCGCTATAAGCCGAACATTCAAAAAAAATTTTTTAAAAGCCCGTGCGGGCGAAAAAAGGCGGGAAAGAAGCGTATCGGAACCGGGAGAGGGAACGGAAGACTCCTCGGAAGCGGTTGACAGGTAAATCGCTTCCCTCCCGGTTCCTATACGGAACAGAGACTTTTGTGTGTGAAATGGCAGTCAGATCCCGGTAGGGAACCGATTCTCAAACGGGTTCTGTCTGAAATGACAGACCAGAACCCGGTTGAGAATCGGTTCCCTACCGGGAGATAGCGCCTGTCTGAAATTCCCCAGTGTTCTATGCACTTTTCACCCTTGGCATTAAAGAGGAAAGAAACGGATGAGAAAGAGGCAAAGGGGCCCAGGGAGAAAAAAGGATGGGAGCGAGTAGAGAAGAATGAATTTCTTAAGCAATTAACTGGCTCAGTTCAAGCCTTCTTTCAGCCCCCCCCCCCCAATCTGGACAAAAATTGCTTGTACATTTTCCCTCATATTGTCACAATGAAAAAGGCTGGAGACTTAATTTTTTTTCAAAGGAAGTGGGAATGCAGAAAGAGGGGCTCCTGTATGGCCTGTGTATTTGAAAGGAACTTAGAAAGGTAAAATGACTACCAAGTAGTTAAGAAGAGCACCAGTAGCCATCATTTTCTTGCTCCTTGTAGTGGTAAGGGGTTTAGTCGCTCCCTATGGCATGACTCCTCAGGTTTAATTGGGCCTCGTCTTGTAGCCCACAGCTGCTCACATCCGAGAATTCCTCAGGCTCTTGGCTGTGTGTCACACCGTAGTTCCTGAAAGAGACGGGAACAAGATAATCTACCAGGCTTCTTCTCCAGGTTGGTCCTTGACTTTTTCTTTTGTGGGAATGGAGAGCCCTTACAAAGATACAATTTAACAAGGGCATTGATCCCAGCCAGTTAAGAAAATGTCCTTTACTTGTGAGAAAGCCTTCAGAGGGCACTTCACCACCAAAAGGGCGTGTTCTTTCCTTTAAAAATGCTGTTCTTGTGTGCTGTCTATTTTGGCTAGTTTGCACAGAGCCCTCTCTTCTTGGTATTATGAAGAAGGTGGTGGAAAGGGCCATCGGGCTGCAGCCAAACTCTGTAGCATGTGGTTTAGTTAAAACTATATAAGATGATGTATTGAGATGCAGAAATAATTCTGAATTTTTTTGAATATGCTTCAGCTTTTATATATATACACACACACACACACACACACACACACACACACACACACTTTATATCATTATTATATTATTGATTGTCCTAAAAAACCTTCCCCCCCTCCTTTTTTTCTGTACCTACATTCCTTTTTTGAAAATAAAAAATATTTTTTAAAAGGTTGCAGCCAACCTTTGGCACTACCATCTGACTGACTAGCAAAGTGCTCACCCTGGGTTGGCACATCACAATAATCTGTGTTTAAGGATAAACTTCCAAGGTACCCCCAAATTTCGTGCAACACACTTTGAAAACGACTAGTGTAACAAATACTGCAACCCTGGCAATAACAGATATAGGTTATAGTTACCTGGATGGTCCTGGGGTGGGGCTGTAGCTCTGGTGGAGCATCCTCTTGGCATGCAGAAAGTCTCTGTTTCAATCCCCAGCATCTCCAGTTAAAGAAATCGGGTAGCAGGTAATGTGAAAGATCCCTACCTGAGACCCGAGGGAACACTGCCAGTTAAAGTAGACGATACTGACCTTGATAGATCAGTGGTATAAGTCAGCTTCACAAGTTAGTGCTAACCTAGACGCAAAGCTCTCAGACTCAAGAAACGCAAGTTAATTACACTTTGCAGTTGTGCTTAACAAATGCATACTCAACTGAAGGGGCAGAACAAGGAAGAAAGTCCTGTGCCTCCAAACCAGACCTCTCGTGATATAATTGCTTATGAATACTTGTGTGACCACACAGTGAATGATCTTTTTAAAAATATTTTTAAAATACTTTCCATAAAGGCAGACTCTTTTTATTGACAGACGAAGGAGCCTTAGTCAAAGGAGCAAAGAAGCTTGGCTATGCTTTCACTGGAAGGACTCCAGATTCCGTTATCATTGATGCGGTAAGAACACATCCAAAGGGTTAGGGCAAAGCAGTGCATTCTGGGAAGAGAGCACACAAAGGGATGAGGAGAGTCGCAGAGAAGCAGACGGAGCAAGGAATGTGATTGGCGTGAGGGGTGGCTGGGGTGGAGAAATGTCCCGTAGACAGGAAATCGGCATGCACAAACCAAGAAGAAGAAAAACATGGTGTCATAGCAACCCCTCCTAGGCAAGATACAAGCACAGGTGGTCTCCCATCCATACACTTACTGTGGCTGACCCTGCTGAGCAACCAAGCTCTGATAAGCTTAGGCTAAAATGGGCTATTGGGGCAACTAACATAAAGCAAATATTCTGGAAATCGACTGTGAGCTTGAAGACTAAAATATGATTTGCATAATTACATGTAATTAACATAAATTACATGTCAGCTTCATTAAGGCAGCGGTTGAGAGGTTTGGTACTGCAGTCCTTAGCAGAGTTACGCCCTTCTGTGTCTGTTGAATTCAGTGGCTTTAGAAGGGTATAACTCTGTTTGGAATCACACTGTAAATTGTGGAACTGAAATGAGTGTCTTTTAAGCAGAACAGCCAACCCTGCAATTTGAGTGGGAGGCTCTGTGGAAGCTTCGTAATGAAGTCCCAGAAATTATTCAGCAGCGGGCTGCGCTTGAGGAATTACCATGAAATACATGGATAAACTTGACTATGGGAAAGATTGATAAGGACACGGTTTTAGGCAGCAGAGGGCACTGTCTGCACATATTTCGTTTCATGTGCTTGGAAACAGAATGGTTCCCCCTACATCTTTCCATTGCTCATTGTAGTTCTTCCCTATTAAAGTTCTACTTTCCATCTCATGTTTTGCAGCTAGGTGAAGAGGAGACATTTGAGATCCTTAATGTGTTGGAATTTTCAAGGTAAATTTCCTTTTGAAACTATTCCAGTACCTAAGCGAAGATAAATAGGAGGGAAAAACTCCCCAATTATTTTCTAGAAGTACTCTAGGTTCAGTGGCTTCCTATTATAGCCATAGTTTAATTTCATTAAGTTCGAGCCTCATCAGAATTAAACAGCGTGCAAAGGTTGTCTATTAATGGTCTAGAACGTGTTCCAAAAGGCCCCTCTTTCCAAGTAATAAAGCCTTCCACTAGGAAGCGGTTCACCCGTTCACTGTTTTCTGCTTCACTTTGACAGTGTCACAGTATTCCCTTTGCTAAAATTTTAAAAGGTTCCATTTTCTCAGAGAAGTTTACAGTAGAAACAAGCACCATTAATTTAGCCTTGGGCTTCCCTGGCTGCTTTTTCCTAGTAAATCTGATCATTCTCTAATTCTTGAGAGATGCATCAAGACAAATCCTTCATCCGTCCTTTGTATCTGTGTGGGTGAAACTAAATAAGAAAACACAGAGGACAAAAAACAAAAGAGCCACTTGTCAAATTATATTGGGTGTTCACCTGAGTTGTTTTAAGTATACAGCTAAATCTGTAAAATAGCTGTGTACACACATGAAGCTGCCTTGTAGTGAATCAGACTATTAGTCCATTAAGGTCAGTATTGTCTACTCAATAAAAATGAAAGGTGGTATAAAGTCATAACATTCCTTTTCTACCTGTGTCCTTGCAGTATAATTATGTTTAAAATAGGTGCAGTTACTCATAATCACAAATTTTCATTCTATATTATTTAAAGTCTTTTGCTCTGTCCCTCTTGCTCAGTATAATTGAGTTATTACCTGGGTTTTGTGACATTAATTTAATACCTAATGAGGCACACATATATGTATATAAGTGACGTATTTTTTAAAAAATCTTTTTTTTCTTTTTTCTTTTTAGCCAACAGAAAACCCCCCCCCCCCCAATTCACCAATAGTTTTCTGGAGTTTGATGGACACTCAAAACACTGTTTTCCTTCACTGGCTAAAAGCACTATTGGTGGGATCTTCCAGTTAATCTAATAAAGAATGAGAGAAGGAATCCTTTCATTTAAAAATAATGAAATGCAGTTAATTTGTATAGACAAGATTAGGAAGAGTGGGTCAAGTTTCCCTTGTTGAGGCTTTGCAGTTTTCAAAGGACCCAGCACACGTTTGCGGCATAATTGCTTCCACCCATAAGTTTGCCTTGTACGTATCTTTGGTGTTTTCATACTGACCTTTACAGTGACATTTCTTTTAGTACTTTCAGTAGTATTTGTTTCAGCCACAAAATGCTCTATGCTCTCTCACCTTAATAACATGTAAAATTAGACAGAGGGAATCTTAAAGCTGCCATCTGAAAGCATACTCCGAGATATATAGGGTGCTTTCATACCTACTAAATAATGCAGTTTCAGTCCACTTCAGCAACTGTGAGGAGGAGGAGGAGGAGGAGGAGGAGGAAAAAAGAGGAGGAGGAGGAGATTGGATTTATACCCCACCCTTCACTACCCAGAGGAGTCTCAGAGCGGCTTACAAACTCCTTTCCCTTTCCCTCCCCACAACAGACACCCTGTGAGGTAGGTGGGGTTGAGAAAGCTCTGACAGAAACTGCTCTTTTTCAAGAACAGCTGTGCCAGAGTTATGGCTTGCCCAAGGTCATCCAGCCAGGTGCAAGTGGAGGGGTGGGGAATCAAACCCGGTTCTCCCAGATTAGAGTCCACGCACTTAACCACTACACCAAACTGGCTCTCCTGTCAGACTAATTGATGCAGTAGCCAAATCGCTCGCTCACAACTTTAATGCCGGTAGCTCACGAAGTAGAATTTTTGCTCACAAGACTGCACAGCTTAGAGTGCAAGTGGATTTTGCCATTTCACACAGTAAAATCCAGTCACAAAGTGCATTGAAAGTAGATTGAAAATGCATTTTTTAGTGTGTGTGAAAGCACCCATAGTCAGTCCCATTAAGCTCGGTAGGACAGACTTCCAAGCAGGCACAATTAGGATCGTTGTTAGGAACTTTGTGCTCCTGCCATCTTACAATTGCACATCCCAGTATTTGTTGTTGTTCAGTCGCACAGTTGAGTCCGACTCTTCGCGACCCCATGGACCAGATCACGCCAGGCCTTCCTGTCTTCCACCATCCTCTGAAGTTTGCTCAATTTCATGTTCATTGCATCTATGACACTGTCTAACCATCTCATCCTTTGCCGTCCCCGTCTTCTTTGACCCAGTATACTGAATTGTATATTTCCCTAGTAATTTTATATTAATGTGGGTGATCACAAACCCCATTCTATGGGAAACTGCTTCCTGAGCCTGATTAGGACACTCTTCCTGACTCTGCTGTTTTACCTATTACTCATATTTATACGTCTTTAGAGAACTGTAAACTGTTCCTTCTTCCTTGTTGGGTCAAAGACTCCATGCTGTAGGTATTTTCCTTTCCCATCCAGGTTTTACATTTACTGCTAGTCTCATAGCCCCCTATTTTACTCCCTCTACTTCTCCCCTTATATGTTCTGATAGCCAGATTTCCCCCCCTCATTTGTGAAATACAGAAGTGCTGGTGACATTGTTTTCCAGCGATCATGATGTGTTGAGGATTTCACATGTTCTGTCACTCATGTGCTCGTAATGTATGCATACACATACACATAATACACAAATCCAAGTATAATGTCTTTGGGCCTGTTACAGTCTTGCAACATGGGCCCCTCTCCCCAATCCCATCCCATACATAGAGTCTCATGATTCCTTTCAGTCCAGGTTGGGCCCCAGTAAAGTGTACCCACAGCTTGGGTTGAATGCACGTACATACGCACATGTTTACATTTCCCCCTCACTTTGGGCTTCCCAGATCACTCCTTTAGGCATTAGCCATGGAATTTAGATGTGCCTCTTGAACTATGGGAAAGTGATATATAAGAAACATTCATCATTCCTTTCTGGATATTCCTTTAATGTGCTGCACCTCCCATTATTATTATTTTTTTAAAGTCTGTCTGCCTTCTGCACCTAAATTGCTTTGCCAGCCTGGGTGAGAGAAGCACAGCCTGAAATCTGACAATGGCTCCCTCCACACTGGGGATTTATCCCTGGGTGAAACACAACTTTCTCCTCCTTTGTCGGGGAGTTTCTGCACAATGTCGCACTCCTTCCAAGCACAACTCATGGGGCTCCTGGGGTTTTGCCTCTTGGCGGTGGAAAGTGCTATCAAGTCACAGCTGACTTATGGCGACCCCGTGGGGTTTTCAAGGCAAGAGACCTTCAAAGGGTGCCTGCTTCTGCATCATGACCCTGGTATTCTCTGGAGGTCTCCCATCCAAGTACTAGCCAGGGCTGAGATCTGACAAGGTCAGGCTAGCCTGGGCTATCCAGGTCCGGGTATTTGCCTCTTAAGGAGCCAGCTTGGTGTAGTGGTTAAGTGTGCAGACTCTAGTCTGGGAGGAACCGGGTTTGATTCCCCACTCCTCCAGTTGCAGCTGCTGGATGACCTTGGGCAAGCCATTGTTCTGACAAGAGCTGTCCTTGAAAGGGCAGTTCTTGAAAGAGCCCTCTCAGCCCCACCTGCCTCACAGGGTGTCTGTTGTGGGGAGAGGAAGGGAAAGGTGTTAGTAAGCTGCTCTGAGACTCTGAGTGAAGGTGGGGTACAAATCCAATCTCCTCCTCCTCCTCCAGACAGAGCAAAAACAACAACAACAACCTTCTCCTTTTCTCTGACGGGAATGGTGTTTCCACTGCAGGCCCAGATTCTGAATAAAAGCTCTGATCGCAGCCATAACTCTTCTTATAGCTTAATTTATTTAATGTTCTTAATCTAGAATGTTGCCTTTTACAAATATCATGAGCTGCTTTGTGGACTCTGCCCCAAAAGTGATCAGTCAAGACAATTGGTTTCTACTCTGACATCTTTGCATGCCTCACTCTACCAATGCATCTCTCATTGCCATGAAACAAAGGAGTTAGAAAGACTGTGAGCAACAAGCAGTGTAGATACTCTGTACCTGTTCCCACCCATTGGAGGGCATTTTGCTAATTATTCATAATAATTAAAAACGTTACAGTGAAGACATTTCTTCTTCTTCTTCCCAGTAATAGAAAGAGAATGTCTGTCATTGTTCGGACTCCAGCGGGGCAACTACGTCTCTACTGCAAAGGAGCTGTAAGTGTCTCATTTCTGTTGGAGGGAGAATTGTCGCCGTGATTTCTGTTACAGTCCTGGTATTTTGTGTTTGATAAATCAGTATTCTGTGTAACAGTGATCACATCAGGGCACGGAAAATTTAGGGTTTCAGCTGAACAGTATTATCACTAAGGCACAACCCTAAGCATAAATGGGACTTGAGGAGGGCAGGCACAGTTATGTGATCAGGATCAAACCAGTGGCCATTTCTGTCAGTTCTGATGATGCCAGTCATCTGCTTAGGGCTGCGTCTCAGTTGATCGGGGGGGGGGTGCAGTTCTTTGCCGAAGGTCCATCCACATGTGCGGTTTTGTGACTTGACTGTTTATCTTCCTTGCATATAATAAATACCTGCCACACATTTCTTGGAAAGGCAGGATAGAAATGCTTCAATTACAATATAAAATTAAAACATAAAAATATAAGGAGTTTGTGTACACACTGTTCATTTGTTTCCTTTCTCATTGGCAGGATAATGTCATTTTTGAAAGGCTTTCCAAAGATTCCCAGTACATGGAACAAACAATGTGCCATCTTGAATATTTTGCCACTGAAGGTAGGCAGAATCCTTTAACAGTGTTGGATTTCAGACTTTTTATGTAGAAAAACAGAACAACATGCTTTTTAAGGCCAATAACAGACACTTGTGTCCGAGTGTTGAAATTGGCATGATAGAAAAACTGTTGCCTGTTGTATATACACTTCCACTTTTTGCCTTTGGTAAAAAAAAAAGGTTTTGTGAAGTTTTGTAGGGTTTTCCAAAAATATGAAAAACTGGTTTAAACAGACATGTAAGGGCTCTGCTGGATCAGACGGATGGTCCATGTAGTCTAGCAACCTGTTTCACACAGCCACCAACCAGTTGCACTGGAGGGCAAACAAACACGGCGTAGAGGCCAGGACCTTCCCCTGTTGCTGCCTCCCCACACTGGTTCCTGCCTCTGACTGTGGAGGCTCCCTAGAGCCACAGTGGCTAGTAGACATTGATAGGAAAATGGCAGAACAGGGGAGAGTGTGTATACACTAAAGGGAACATTGCATCTCATACAATTTTTAACCCTCTTAATGCTATAATTTGTCTCTCACACACAAAAAGGGCTGAAGTGTGGCTTAGCAGCACTGCAGGCATCCTGCTTAAGCCAACAGTGAAACTTTGCTAGGCAAAAGAGGGACAAGGTCTGTATTGTACTCACTTGAAAGAAGGGCAAACTGTTAGATGTGGCATGACTGAACCTCTTAGCTGGAACTAGATGGGGGGAGAGATCAGAAATTGGCATGTGGGGAATAAAACCAAGGGAACTGAAGAGCAAATGAAATATATAGTAGCCGGATTGTAAAAGCTTAAGGAAAAAAGGTGGAAGAAATTGCATTAAACCTTATGCTCCCACTGGCTTCCCTTAAGATAAAGCGCCTATGAGTTTTATATGAAATCATATATACTGATCTCTTATTTCAGTGGTACTCAATGCTAGAGTACAACAACTTGGGGACTAGGCTGTGTTCCCTTTATTAGCAACCATTTTTGGAACCAAATTGGAGCAAGAGCCTTATGTCTTCCCAGAACTGAAACATTCCTTCCCCTCCCCACACACACACTTTTTGTCCTGGGAACTCCCACATCCTCAATAATAAAGTATTTTATATGGCCTACTCTCTCCTTTCCTGGTTGACTTGTGCCAGAAGAGGAATCATTACTTTTATATATGTCGAATTCTGTCAGTGGCCCAATAAAATATGGTTGTTCACATTCCATGTGGATTTGTCCTTCAGATCATTGTGCATGGTTAAGCCATGTCAACATCCGTGTGAATTACATGTGTCCCGTTAGATGGAAATACCAAGCATTATGCTATTTGCAGTTGGACTATAATGTGGAGCTATTCACCTACCTCATGTCATGGTTCTGTGATTTGCAATTTAATTTCAGATGTGTTAAAGTCAAGTATTCCCCCCCCCCATCAGTACTGGAGTTGTTCCTGGATTGCTAAAATGACAAAAATTGGATTATTGTAATATTGCAGAACATTCAAGATGGCACAGCTTATGCCCTCAAATATAAGGGGTAGATGCACTCTTGCAAAAAAGTGATCAGATTTCATTTATTCTGTTCCATTGTGTTCCTTCATTCCAGTTGCCGCCTGTGTACTTGGCTGCTATTTTCGCTCCCTTTGGCTCATTTGCCTTTTTGGTCTTTTTGACATTACCACTGCATATGCTGGCATTGCTAGACGCCGCAACAACAAAAAAGACACACTAATGAAATATGCACAGATAAAATTGAAAGAGCATTAGAGAAGAGTGTGCTTTCCTTTAGCAACTCCTTACACCTTCTTCTGAGGTTCCCAAACTTATTTTGCCTACTGCCCCCTTTTCAGAAAAAAATTTACTCAGTGGCCCCCTGTACATCTACCTTCAAGAAGTGGACGAAAAGATGCAGTTTGTGGATCTGCACCTGGATTGTTCCAGCCCACCTGGATCATTCCAGCACCCCCGAGGGGGCAGTATTGCCCACTTTGGGAACCAGTGTCTACATGATCATCACTCACATATAGAGCAGGTTTCTTTTTAGCATAACACATCACATGATATGCTAATCTTTTTGAACCAATCACATTGGTGTCATTTTCATTGTCTCAGCCCCCCAATGCAACCAACCTCTTCTTTTGTGCCACTGGAGATATTTTTAGTACTTAAAAGAAAAATTCTTAACAGCTATAACTTTATAGTCCTAAATGGCTGGGGGCTAGGGTATGTGAAAGATCACCTTCTCCCATCTTATTCCACTGTTCCTTGAGTACATAAAGAGTATCAAGGAGGCCTTTACCAAGTAGGGCTTTAGGGTTTCGAACGCGTGGCTATTATCTGACATCTTCAGTACATTCCTGAGGAGGGTTGTACCCTTCTAAGTCTACTGAAGTCAATGAGATTATTAGGATGAAACTCTGTTTAGGATTGTACTGCTGGCTACTGAAGCATAAAAGCCCCTTTTAGAGCATTTTAGCTTTAAAAGGGGATTAGACAGATTTGTGGAGGATAGATCTGTCAGTGACTAGTAGCCATGGTGACTAAAGGAAACCTTCACATTCAGAGGCAGGAAACCTCTGAACACCAGTGATGGGAGCCAACATGGGGGAGGAGGCCTTGGCCTCTGTGCCTTCTTTGTTGACCCTCCATGGCAACTGGTTTGCCACTGGGTGATACAGGATACTGGACTAGATGGACCACGGGTGATCAAGCAGTGCTCTTTGACATAAAAAGGAAGATTATGGGGTTTCCCCCCCACATATGCTGTCAAGAAAGAGAGGGGGGTCTTAAATTTTCATACAGGTTACAGTTGTGTACATTAATAACCTTTTACGTATAATTGCTTCTTAAGTGGATTTTCTTACATTCAGTGTCATCATCCTTTTGAGTAAAAGCAGTAGCTTCACAGAAGACTTTAGACTTGATCCTGCTCAAAATGTCTATGCCTGACTCATGTTGTTCTTGGGGGATGATGGAAATCCCCAGGAGCAGCGGGGGGGGGGGGGTTGTAGAGCTACTGTGGGAGGAGGAAATTGCCAGACCCCCCCCCTCCTGGCATATGTGGATGTTTTGATGGGGTTCAACCCACTGGGGTCTGCATGTGTTTCACTGAGGATTTTCTCTTATTTGTCCCCTCTTAAACACACATATTCACTCATGCACGAATGTTTTGTCATGTTATTGGGAGGTTGATATGCAAACCCTTATGAGTGTGCAATTCATTGTTCATTTCTCCCAAACTGTAATTTGCATTGCTCTTTCCATGTAATGACTGAGGAACGTTCCATATGATAAGGTTTCTGTGTTTTCCTTTTTAGGTTTGAGGACTCTGTGCATTGCATATGCAGACCTCTCAGAAAACTCTTACCGGGATTGGTTGAATGTTTATAATGAAGCCAGCACCATCTTGAAAGACAGGACTCAGAAGCTGGAGGAATGCTATGAGATCATTGAAAAGGTAATGAATGACGGAAGATTTTTCTGCTGCAAACATCTGAATCCTCGTCCATTTGCATTCACTATTCTTTCAACTGGCATTAAGCATGGCTTTATTCAGATAAAGTAATCAGCTTAAAGACAACATGCTGTTCCATTGTAAGCCCTACATAGAGGACTTACTTTGTTGGCTTGATTGGAAGCAAGGCCACATGTGTTAATTTCAGAACTCTCAACCAGTGTGCTTTAACAAATGGTTTCTCCATTCCTTTAAAAAAGTACAGTAATTTCATAATTACCAGTATATCATTTTGACAGACAAAAAATCACAGCATTTCAGCATATTGGTCCACCAAAGTATCGTCTACTCAGAGTGGCAGTGGCTCTCCAGGGTCTCAGGCAGAGGTCTTTCAGATCACCTAATATCTGATCCATAACTGGAGATGCTGGGGATTGAACCTGGGACTTCCCGCATTTATTTTTATTTATTTATTTATTTATTTATCCTTCGACTTAATATACCGCCCTAACCCCCGTAGGGGTCTCTGGGCGGTTTACAGTTCTTGGGTGCTAGTCACCTATATCGACCCTAACTACGGCCACACATTGGTACAAGGGGGGGGATTTCCCTACCGACACCCTGGTGAAAGCATTCCTCGGCTCGGCTCCTTCTGGCTGCACGATGTCTGGTGCTCAAGCAGACGGGGGGG